TTTGACATTTAGACTGGCACATTGGTTAACGTGAATATTCTCCTTTGATCACTCAGACATAAACACTAGATGCATTTGGAAATTTGTCAGGGTCTGAGTGTAAAAATTCATTTAATAACAATTGTTCTTATTGGACATGTCTGAATGAAAGTAGTGTGAGAGACCAATGTTTACTTAGCGAACATCCATTAGTTGATTGGCGTTACTCTGTTGTATTCACTACTGTTTGAAGAATGAGTGAATATGGTTCTATGCCGCTTTCATTCTATTCCACAAATATCACGTCGACGGACACCAGAAATCTGGTTTACACCTGCTGTCTGGAATGGTCAAAGTGTGAGCGTAAATGTACTGAAATACTGATGATCTGGAGACACGTTTACGTCCCATTTCACAATACCAGGCTGAACATACAAATCATCTAAAAACCAATTCCAGCAGGGGTGGCAAGATACGGCGCCGGTAGAATATGTGTTGTAGTCCTTTACAGCCGAATGGAATCTGTTTCAAAGTATTAGAGAGACTGAGGATCCTCTATCATTGACATGTAAAGTGTATCTTTAACCTTCCAAGCAATAGAATCTCTTCTCTTCTCTTCTCATGAGACGTAATTGATTTTTAAAAATACTTTAAATTGTGGTTTCAACAAAATTGATAAACACTGTCGTTTCGATGGATGGTCTGGTCACCTATCACTTTAATGATCACAGTAGTATGTCAGGAGTGCAGCGTTAGGCATAAAACACTTCCTTCACTATTTAGGATACAATAATGACATAGTGCAATGTTTGCTCTTTTCGTGCATCATTCCAACGACCAGTCGGAAAGTTAGGCAGTCCTAAATTTTAATTATCATTTTAGATGTGTATTGGAAAAATGTACATCGAAAAGATTGACTGCTCCAAATCTTTCAACTTTGGAAAATCGTTATATTGAGATGAGATTCAAGAAGATCTCTCACAATGAAGGTCCAGTTTCGTTTGCTACACATAATGTGTGCAGACGGGTGTCACTGTCCGTGATGTTGCGAGAATATTGCGTGACGTAAAACTATATTTAACACTGACGCAATGACACACTCACTCGCCGAACTACCGTCCGTGGAACACACTCACTCACCCACTCACACTATCACTCTCTCACTTATTCAATGGCCAGCGGCTGAAGGGATGACATAAATCCAGCTAGGGTCCATGCAGGTAGCAAAAGTAATGTAAGTCATGGTCCCTAATTTGGTGATCTACCTTCAGTTGTTAGCGATCTATAGCCAGATTTTATATTGTATTGTCCAAATAGTGCTATTAGTTTTAACTTTCCACACTAGTGTTAGTTGTAATTGTGATATTCTAGTTGTTTTACTGTCCTTCGTAGACAGGTTTTTATCGTATACATATATTCCATTTCAATGTCAAATATGTTCTTGTCACGATATGGCTGAGATATGGCCGATGTGACGTTAAATATTAACTCACTCACTCACTTATTCACGCACTCACTTACTCACTCAAGAAGTATGAGGAGGCATCGGTGAAAGAATTTTCACCCAATGATGCTAAGACTGTTATAGTAAATGTGGACCTGTCAATACTTCATGTTAGAAATACCCTAGATTGCTGTTTCATAAACAACACATTTCTAACAGTCCAAGCAAGTACTGCCACACAACCCAATAAATTATACATACAGCAACCAATGTTATTGATATAGTGTCAGTAAAGGGGGAAAGTACGTCTCCATTATTACTTGTTACATTGTTAGTCTACTCCTAAACATAGAGAATGCATATTTTAGACTACGATTCTTCATATAATCAAAGTGTGGCTGTCTATGCATCTTCTTTAAAGGTCAAGTAATGGACATTGGTGTATATCAGCGACCATCCCTATGATGTATGATTATATGTCTGGACAGTTGTATAAACACACTGACCACTCGACCACTATTCAAATATACACTTATCGTGTTCCGTATTGACAAAGGGTTCATTGTAACATTAGTTGTGTTGAGCATATGTCAATCCTACACCATATATAATACATCTTGTCTGGCGGAAATTTTGCCTCGCGACAAAGATAGCAAGTATTATTAGATAGACACGACATCAAATGAATTAGCGGGTTCTTGATCGTCTGGATTGCTGACATGTAACTACGACCTCTTGTATAGTAATTGCATCCAGTCGAGATGACTATACTTCATGCATATCTACACTCATGTCATGATGTCATTATTTTCCAAGCATCGAAATGTGGGGATGATAGATGAACTTCGTACATGAGTGAGTATAGTTTAACGCCGGTTTTATCAATATTACACTGGACCAAAACATCGGCTTCAAATCGGCTACCTATGTGCAGAATCGAACCCGAGCCAACGACGTGACAAGCGAACGCTTTAACCACTGAGCTATCCAACCTTCCGTGACAGATTAGAAAGGAGTCTAAAACAAATGACGTTGACCTTAAAAGCTGTTAATTGTTTGTCCAAAAAACAACTGAGTGGAACTGAACTACCGGACAAATGAAAGTTCTCACTGATCTAACTTGACCAGAAAATAGAAACAAAGACGTATGTGAGATTTATGATGATTATTTTACAAACACATATATCATTTTCTAATAATTTGAGCTTGTATTTGCCGCAAGTCATTAAGAAAGAGTCAAAGGGGTCAAAATTAAAAAATACACAAATCTTTCTTTCAGATTTCATTCAAAACGTGTTATAATGAGACAGTAGTCAAATCATCAATAGCGAGTGTAACTCACGAGTGCATCCATACACGCCAACACACGTCTCCTCCTTGAATCCTCAAATCGATGTAAATATAGCGACGAAATCATTTCCGTAATCAAAATAAGTCTATTGTGTGACACCGACCTCATCACAAGCATTTGTTTATGGACCCGTGAAGATCCGTGTTAGAATTCGTCTTCATCAACCCATGCTTGTCGTAAGAGGCAACTAGCGGGTTCGGATGGTCAGCAGCGATGACTTCGTTCACTCATATCATCGTATCTCAATTGCGTAGAGCGATGGTGAAGATGCCAATCACTGGAGTGTCTGGTCCAAACCTGATTATTTACAGACCACCCGTCATATAGCTGGAACATTCCTGAGTGCGGAGTTAAACAACAAACAAACAAACTATATTCACAAGAACGAAGTGTTAACTTATCAATGAAAGCAACCTGTAAAAATCATCAGGGTCCGCTGACCAAGTAATTTCATTAAACAAAGTCCGTAAGTTCCTTGTGAAGGTGAAATTCAACTTGAACTGCTACACTACAGCTAACGTGAAATAATACCTTCCACGCTAGTCAGAAGGAAAGACAATAAAATCATGGGACTGACTATTAATACAAAAACGATGAGGGCTTTCAACTCAATGTCTGTGTTACAAAAATGTTCCAGCAGAAAGATGGCGTTGTAATCATCCGCTCCATCAACTCTAATTTACATGGAGATGCTAAATACGTGTTAGTGTGACAAAGGAGACCAATGCTATACTCTGGGATCGTGGTCACATCAGGAGAAGATTAATCAGTCTTGTTCTTGGTCTTGTCTGGGTTTCCGCTAAAGTGCAAAAGGGCAGTTAGTGGCTTGTGGTCAGTCGAGGATTGACCGTAAAGACCATAGCGACGCATACGAGACAATACATTTCATCTATGATGCGATGCTATTATGACATGTTGCCCTTTAGAAAGAGTTTGTCCATAAGGATTTGTGTGGTGATTTATCATAGTCGATCTTAGCAAATGAATATATGATAAACGTAGGTCGATATATGGGTGAAGCCCAAATGAAATGTGGATCAAAGAACGCTGGGTTCTGATATTGAGACTTTCAACAAGACACACAGTCCCGAAACAATAACACTTGTCATGGTAGCCTTGGTTGTCTCGTCGTTGATACCTAGAACCTATACCACATATACTTCATTAAAGAACCAACAGAGACAGCATTAACCTTTCAAAACACTCATCGACGTAAACCAACGAATATAGGAATGTTACCAGAAAGGCTATCCTGTCTGTATGACCATAGCAACAGCGTCATAATCACTGTCCACACACTTCTCTTCTCTTTACAATATTCGGGCAGTGGGGTGGCCTAGTATTTAAAGCGTTTTCACGTCATGCCTACGACCCGGATTAGATTCCTGTCATTTTTAAGATATATGAAGCCCATTTCTGGTCTCCCCTACTTTCATATTGCAATAATATTGCTAAATGCGGCATAAACCTGAACACATTCACTAACTCTTCTCTGCACATTATTAGTAAATAGACATTGCTAGAATCCCATAGCTAAAACATACTTTATACATTAAAAACCCACTGGAAGTTTCTATGAATCTGTTTCATCCATTTGGTCTGGACGTTCATATGACAAAGATATAAGAGTAAATATCTTTATCGTTTTGATTAAAACCTGTATCCAAGAGATATTGGTTACATTATACCTTAAACTTTCAAAATCATTACCTTTCATAATGGATATTTGCAATTGTATTATATTATGACTGGCGACTGTTAACCTTTTCAGTGTTGATATATATTTGTACCTGTGGTATTTCATTGTACACTTGATATGTTTCCTCTTAATGGTCTTTCCTTGGTTGATGGGCGGATTTATTAGCAGTCCTCGTGTGTCAAAAAGTGTCATTTATCCAGTATTAGTTGTTCTTTGCGGATATTTCCAAGCATGTATTTAAGTTATCTTTGGTACAATTATTGGTACCATTCGCATTGGGAAGATTACCCTGGCGCTTGTCACATCATGAACTTCAAAGAAGCTAGCATAATGTACTGTGAATTGAGAATACTACATAATGCAATCTTACAGACATTTTCCGCGCGAAAGTTGTATAAATGTTGTCCATGTGAACTGATACGATTGCACCATATGTCAAATATCAGTTAAATATTACATATGTTTACTTATTACATAACCTAACAACTTATTTACATAACCTACTCGATCTCACTTATGCTTGTTACTTATTGTGCTGTGTATTTGAAATAATGTTGTGTATGAATGATAAAACTGTACCAATGCGTAAGAAAGAAATAAAGTGAAAAAAAACAAAACATATGTTTTGTGACTTGTCTACAAACGTCAGTGTATTATAATCTCGCCTCTTTGATGGAGTATAATATATGTTTGTCAAGACGGTTTATGCACTCCTGAAAAAGGAATAATGGAAATGGAATTTGAAATTATCACAAATTGACAATCTGTCAATTGAACAGCTCTTGCATTCCAAATTTCTTGTTGACTCCCTTTTATGTCTTATATGGCGACGTTGTTTGTGTGTTATCCACAGAATGTCTCGCGAAATAATCAAATAAACTTGCATTAAGCTTAGCATTATCATTCTGATTACCCAAAGAGATATTAATGCATAAATTTAGAAGTTACAGGTATTTGATCTTACTTTGCAACAGAAAGCATCAAAATGCAAACTTAAGGTGTAAAACACAACTTAGATACTTTCATCAAATACATCACTATCGAAAAACAACTTTAATAGCTCAATGTTTACAAACCCTCAAACATGGCTGTATATTTCATTTTCCTGGCCATTTATATAAATAACTTCCCATGTTGGTAGGATGTCTCTTGTGAGTGCTCGTCCATTGTACCATTCCGGCTATATCATTAGCATGTGTGTATGAATTACTATCATGAAATAATGATCATACCAGTTTTGAGATCACGAGATGCGAAAAAGTGATCTATTCAAAGCACCATCCTGGGCAAAGACACAGATGCATGTTTTTTTATGCCTATGTACTATCTCTGTATAATACGTGTCGTATAGATTACATGCTTTCTATTTTGATGTTTTTCTTGTCTTTTCATTCACACTTGAGATCTTCTGTCTACATCATACATTGCATTACAGAACGCATCGAGTTTCAACACAGTCACATTAACCTTTAAAGCAACACTCATCAAAGAAGCCAAGGCGTGAATATTAGAAGATGTGATCAAGCTTTATCAGGTGGCCCTGTCTTTATGGTCTCCTTAGTGTACAATGTAATTACCAGTGTCGTCATCTGTTCTTCACGAGTGGCCATCCATTCCACTCTCCGTACACAGAAATAATAACTGCATCGCTTTTGGTGGATAGGTTTCCACAATCGATTACAATACTGGATTTAGCTTGTGCAAATTTAACTTGGTGGGCGACTGAATCATTTCAATCTATTATGAATGAAAGTACATGCGGTTCTGCAAATAACAACGGCAAGACCATTTCCGTAGCCATAAGAAAATCTGGTACTATTCCGGCTTTCATGAGCCTTTGTGTATGTAAAATGACTGTATGTAACTTGAATATTTTGCTGAAAATGTAGCCATTAACGCCAAATGGGGCTTCCATGGGCATCGACGACCAACGTCATGTTACGAGGCACCAAGCTGAGGCATACTTAGAGCTCTCCAAGTATCATTTTCCTCATGGCATGTCGAATGTGTTACAGAAGATGAAGAGAGGGGTTTTTCTCACTTCTTAAGAGAACATTGAGTGGAACTTTTACGCTCTTTGATTTCTGTCCTTCTTAAATGAACATTGCTGGCCATTTTTCTCGGCTTTTGTCCTGCCTCTTCCAAATGTCGTGCAATTAGAACCACTGCTTGGTGGCGTTTCATCAACCATTTAACACACTCTTTCCCGGGTTCAAATCCAAACATTTATTCACAGGAAATACCAATGAAGAAATTCCATGTCACTATAACTTTGGAATTCGAGAATGTACATACACAGACCTTTGTTTGTGTTAAAGTGGCGGGATTTCTCTCCAACCATGTTCAATTTTCAAACTTTTAACGATTTCAAAGTCAACTGAAGATATTTCAAAATACACCAACAATGAACCTTTTCAAATATTATCAAACTTTATTCCTACTTCTAATTACACAATAAATAACTTTAAATCCTTCTGTAAAGGGACAAGGATCATCGTGTCTTCTTCGAGACTTACTTCAAATGGCAATTCATCAATCAATTTTGACAGCTTGTATGTATTTGTTCCAGTTGTGTCGGCTTGACGTGTTATTTACTGGGCGATTATAGACTTAGTATTGTCAAAAACCAGTGATGCCAGATTTATTGATTGGATTCTGAACTTATCCTGATTTATATGGTGCTGCAAAAACGCCAAACTATCTCCATAAATAACTCTGTTCATATGACCCCAATATTCCAAAGCCAAGCGATTCTTTTAAATACGTTAGATTTACACTGATGACAAAATATACACATACTTGTGACCGCAAATCTCAGTAGTAGCGGAAATCTTTGACATTTAGACTAGCACATTGGTTTACGGGAATATTCTCCTTTGATCACTCAGACATAAACACTAGATGCATTTGGAAATTTGTCAGGGTCTGGGTGTAAAAAACCATTTAATAACACATTGTTGTTGTTGGACATGTCTGAATGGAAGTAGTGTGAGAGAACTATGTTTACTTAGCGAACATCCATTAGTTGATTGGCGTTAGTTGCTGGTATTCACTACTGTTTGAAGAATGAGTGAATATGGTTTTATGCCGCTTTCATTCTATTCCACAAATATCACGTCGACGGACACCAGAAATTTGGTTTACACCTGCTTTCTGGAATGGTCAAAGTGTGAGCGTAAATGCATGAAATACTGATGATCTGGAGACACGTTTACGTCCCATTTCACAATACCAGGCTGAAAATACAAATCATCTAAAAACCAATTCCAGCAGGTGTGGCAAGATACGGCGTCGGTAAGAATATGTGTTGTAGTCCTTTACAGCCGAATGGAATCTGTTTCATAGTATCAGAGAGACTGGGGATCCTCTATCATTAACGTTTAAAGTGTATCTTTTACCTTCCAAACAGTAGAATCTCTGCTCCTCTCGGGAGACATAATGTTTAAGCAAATACTCACTCACCAGACTGCCGTCCAACAAACACACCCATTTACACTACCACTCACTGACTCAAGAAGTATCATGAGGCATCGATGAAAGAATTCGCATTTTCACCCAATGGTGTTAAGATTGTTATAGTCAATGTGGAGAAGAGGTCCTTTTCCTGTCAATACTTCATGTTAGAAATACCCTGCATTGCTGTTTCATAAACAACACATTTCTAACAGTCCAGACAATTACTGCCACACAACCCAATGAATTATACATACAGCAGCCAATGTTATTGATATAATGTCAGTAAAGGGGGGAAGTACGTCTTAATTATTACTTGTTACATTGTTAGTCTACTCCTAAACATAGAGAATGCATATTTTAGACCAAAATTCTCGTTATAATCAAAATGTAGTTGTCTATGCATCTTCTTCAAAGGTCAAATAATGGACATTGATGTATCTCAGCCACCAACCCTATGATGTATGATTATATGTCTGGACAGTTGTATAAACACACTGACCACTCGACCACTATTCAAATATACGCTTATCGTGTTCAGTATTGACAAAGGGTTCATTGCTACAGAATTTGCGTTCAGCATTGTAAATCATAGACCATAAATATACATCTTGTCTGGCGGAAATTATGCCTCGCGACACAGATAGCAAGTATTATTAGATAGACAGACTATAATATGAATCAGCGGGGGTCTAGATCGTGTGTATTGTTAACGTGTAACTATGACCACTATAGTAATTACATGGTGGACACAGTCCAGTCCAGATGAGTATATTCCTACCACATATACTCATGTCTTGATGTCATTATTTTCCAAGCATCGAACATAGACATATGACAATGATGAATGTATTTCATACAGGAATGAGTATGGTTTAACGACCTTTTAGTAACATTAAACTGGATCACAATTCGGCTTCAGACGTTGTACCCAGGCCTCCGAAGTGACGGGCGAACGCATTCATCTTTCGTGACACATTAGAAAGCAATAAAAATAAAACATAAGTAATTACATTGATGGCAAAAGCTGATAATTGTCCTTACAACAACTGAACGGAACTGTGCCTGCGTTTGAGATTTCATCCTTGTTTTATAATTACTTCCCGAATTATTTTAGGTGAACAATGGACTAGACATACCATATACTTGTGACGGGTGCCACCGGCGGGGCAGGATACGCTCACCTTTTCGCGAACACCTGGTATCATCACTATTTCATAGTGATCCATGCTCTGTCATCGTATGCATGATGACAATCATTGGATTGTCTGGTCCAGACTCGATTGTTTACAAACAACAACATCGCACTTCAGTAATACTGCTGAAACAAGTACATAATCATGATACAGTCACAACTGTATAATCGACTCTTATTGTAACCTTTAAACCTTCCATCGTGGTAGGAGTATAAGTTGGTCCAAAGAGGCTTCTTAATAGATCGGAGACTGTGTTGAGTGCCAACTGTGCTGATTTTATCATTGCTCATATTATTAGTCACTGGATTGGCTGGTCCGACATCCATGGTTTACTGGCCACAGTCAAATGTCTCTACTGACTACAGAATGAATTTGAAAAAATACTCATTTGCTGTTGGTAATAATGTCAATATAGCAAAAGAAATGTTAACATAAGCACTTCTCTGTGTTTATAACAAGTAGCTAAATCATTCCATTGCGAACATTCAGTCTTTAAAACTTAAGCAACGAAAGCTATTTTGTGAACATACAAACACATTTTGTAAATCAATAAATCAAAATGCTTCTTCTCGTGGCTAATTATCATTCCGAATCACTGAAAATGATTCAAAAGTAACATATTGTTCAAACGGTTATTACATGACAAATATGTTTAGCTTACATATTGATGACTATAGCATAAACCAATTTTCGATCCATCGTCTTCTGACCGACACACACACTGGTTTCAGCATCAATATTGAAGTATCTTTTGGAAGGTGTCAATTATGAACATAGGAACGAGCGCCAATAGGCTTGAGTGCAGTGGCAATGTGATTGTCAGCTGAAGAATACGTGACTTATGCCTATGTAACACCGATTGGGTGCTTTTACGAAACTGATAAAAACGACAGCCATTAAATACATTGAAAAGTGCAAGATTGCAGATGGCGGGGAAAAACACCAAACACACACCTGAACGCAACCAGTCGTTTAACCCATGTGCAATACATGACACGTAACAGTGAATGTGGGTACAAAATGGTTTATTGCAGATGCAAGTAAACTGTTCTCTTGAAAGTTCAAATGCGATATTTTTACATAGTGCCATCTCTTCTTAAGAACCTGTCTAACCTCCATATCAACACTGAGTAATCAGTTACTGCTGTTACAGTATCATTACGGTGCGCTCGACCCATTCTTTAAGATTTAAACCCTAAAACACGCTGACAAATACGTCAGAGAAATGCGTCGATCATTGTCTCACGACACATACCATGCCAATAATCAAAAGAGACCCCTGAATATCCGGGTTACAATTAACCAGGTCAGAAATACCAGTCCAAGGAAATTTATTGTAACTGAAGAAACAATCCTCATAGTATATATGTAAACATAGCGACGAAACCATTTCCGAAATCAAAATATTCTGAGTCCATTGTATGACTCCGACCTCAGCACAAGCATTTGTTTATGGACCCGTGAAGATCAGTATCAGAACTGGTCTTCCTCAACCCATGCTTTTCGTTAGAGTCGACAAATGGGATAGGATGCTCAGGCTCGCTGGATTGGTTCACACATATCATCGTATCCCAACTGCGTTGATCGATGCTCAAGATGTCAATCACTGGATTGTCTGGTCCAAACCCGATTATTTACAGACCAACGTCATATAGCAGGAACATTCCTGAGTGCGACGTTAAACAACAAACAATCTACATTCTCAAGAACAAAATATTAAATGTATCAATAAAAGACGCCTGTTCAAATAATCAGGGTCCGCTGACCAGGTAATTTGATTAAACAAGGTCCATGAATTCCTTGCAAAGGTGAAATTCAATTTGACCTGCCCGCTAACCTGAGATAATACCACCCATGCTAGTCAGAAGGAAAGACAATAAAATCATGGGACTGACTATTAATACAAAACGATAAGGGGTTCCAACTCAATGTCTGTGTTACAAGAATGTTCTAGCAGAAAGATGGCGTTGTAATCACCCGCTCCATCAAATCTGATTCACATTGGGATGCTAAATACGTGTTAGTGTGACAAAGGAGACCAATGCTATACTCTGGGATCGTGGTCACATCAGGAGAAGATTAATCAGTCTTGTTCTTGGTCTTGTCTGGGTCTCGGCTTACGTGCAAAGGGCAGTTAGTGGCTTGTGGTCAGTCGAGGATTGACCGTAAAGACCATAGCGAGGCATACGAGACAATACAATTCATCTATGATGCGATCTCATGGTGGCATATTGCCCTATAGAGAGAACTTGTCCATAAGGATTTGGGTGGTGATTTACAAGCACAAATCCTTGCTAATGAGTCTTATAAAAGTATAGATCGAGGAATGGGTGAAGCAATATGACATTTGGATCAAATGCTGGGTTGTGATGGCTTTGCTGTATGGCCGACCTGATACGGATGTAAACTTACTTAATGTTGTGTGAAACACAGCTTGCTCACACCTAAAACATGTCATTACTTCATGTTGTGTTACAGGGAACGTTTCACATGTAAACACCGAGTGGATGGAAAAGTGATACTTCTCCAATACTCCACACTCTGCACAGAAACACACCTCCTTTGAGTGGTATTCAGAAACTGGTATGATGAAAAAGAACACGTTTTATGGATTGGCAGCTTCTTTATTGTAATGGATGCAAAGTTTCGGTGAAGATGCTACCACCGTTATCAAGCAAGTGTACATCTACATACATTGCAGTAAAGAAGTTGTCAATCCATATAACGTGTTCCTTTACAGAAATATATCTTCGATACTCTATACAATATTTCATCACCAAGATATATTATGGATTTAAGTGTCTTTATTCTTTCCCACACAACGTTTCGGGATCATTACAGATCCCTTCATCATCATAGGATCCGTGAAGATCCGAGTTGGAATTGATCTTAAGTAACCCATGCTTGTCGTAAGAGGCGACTAACGTGATCGGGTGGTCAGGCTCGCTGGCTTGGTTGACACATGTCATCGGTTCCCAATTGCGCAGATCGATGCTCATGCAGTTGATCACTGGATTGTCTGGTCCAGACTCGATTATTTACAGACCGCCGCCATATAGCTGGAATATTGCTGAGTGCGGCGTAAAACTAAACTCACTCACTCACCTGATGAAGGGATCTGTAATGATCCCGAAACGTTGCGTGGGAAAGAATAAAGAAGCTTAAATCCTTAAAAAATCTTGGTCATCTATAACAACTTCTCAAAGCCGCTGAAAGACATACTATTTTTTCAGTTGTTAAGTCAGTGGCATTCCTTAAATTCTAAACAGTGTGATGTTTTAATGTTCCACACCACAATGTATCTTTATAATCGGGACAGTCATAATTCTTCTGTACGCCGAGGCGGTAGGGTTAGCCTAGTGGTTAAAGTGTCCGCGTGGCACGCTGAAGACCCGGTTCGATTCCCCACATGGGTAAAATGTGTGAAGACCATTTCCGGTGTCCTCCGCCGTGATAATGCTGGAATATTGGTAAAATCAGCGTAAAACCATAATCACTCATTCCTCAATACTCCACAGAATATGTCCAATAAGTCACAGTGATTTGTGTTCAATACCCCACACAGTAATACGTGTTCAGTACTACAGAGTGATATTTGTTTCATACTAAACATAGTGACTTACATTCAGTACAGTGATATTTCCTCAATACTCCGTAAGAGGCGACTAACGGGATCGGGTGGTCAGGCTCGCTGACTTGGTTGAAACATGTCATCGGTTCCCAATTACGCAAATCGATGCTCATGCTGTTGATCACTGGATTGTCTGGTCCAGACTCGATTATTTACAGACCGCCGCCATATAGCTGGAATATTGCTGAGCGCGGCGTAAAACTAAATTCACTCACTACTGTCTTCAATACTCCACACATCATATATCTGAAACACTCGACACTGAGATACATCTTTAATGCTCCCCACGGTGTAATCTTTTCAGTACTTTTTATACTGACATTTCTCCAATACTTTTTTCATAAACAGTGTTCACGCACTGAGATGTATAGCCGTATATACAGTCAGGTATACGATGCTGTATTATTGTGGGAAGCTCTCACGAATTGCTGCAACACTTACAACAAGTATAGCCTCTGTATTGGACCCTTTGAGCTCTTCTTAAAGTGCCTAACACAACATGCGAAGCATAACTGTATCGCAAGGTTAGATTTTACGGACGTTTGAACATCGACAACTATTTCCCTCCCTGATTAAACAATAGAACGATGAGTTATAACCTCAAAAATAGCCGGAATTAACAGATTAATAGATGACAGAATCTGTATCACGTTTATGTAAAAGGATTGTGGTCACGCATTTGTAAGAATTATCATCGCAAGCAATTGTTTCGAGTGCGATTTTGGTGTAGCTCTATAGGTACAGAATACTACTGTAATCACTCTTCGTTTAATGGACTGATACATAATAATATGATTAGGAAATACGTGGGAAGGGAAGTAGAATATTTATACGAGTCTTGCTGTCAAATTTTAGAGACTGAATAATAAGTCTAAAATATCTATCACAGGGCTTAAAGGAGAATCCGAACGAAAACAAAAAAATTGATATATTGTAAAGGATATTCTAAAAGTCACCTTCCGTGATTAAAATTGAACAAAAAGTTTGTAAAATGGCAATAAAAACACAAAAAACGTACTCGTATTTCCGCCTTTTACGGAAACACCCGACAGTTAATGAGCAGAGGGGGTATCACGTGACATGACGTCATATGTGCCTGTTGCTGATGGCTGCCTCTTTGATTTTACCTCACAACTTAACAGTGTCCATGGATTCTGAAGCAGTAAAAGGTGATCCTGATGTCATTTCTGAAATGGATGTTAGACCGTATCAATACGATCCGATTTTACATCTTGCAAGACAATCTTCCAGTGAAGATGGAGAAAAATCAAGCGAAACAGAGGCACGGCTTGAGTTCAAAATAAATTTTAAAATATACCATATCATTTAACAAGAATACTATTTGACAGCAAAATGTGATACAGCTCCAGCCAGCAAACCCAGCCCTATAAGTATATGACCAGTCCCTAAGAATTATATTTTTGGCAATGCGATTGCAGTTCCTTTTGTGTCAAATGGGTGACTGTAGGATGTCTGGGATTTAAAAAAACAATAATTATGCTTCAGACAGGGGAAAATAGAAATTATCTGCTACAAAAATTACACTGGAGTTATTTCGTTGAAAAAAAATTAGGATCCTAGTTCTCATAAATAACGTAGCAAGTCTCCACACAAAATCCCAGCCAAGTCGAGCAGAGATAATATTCGCAACGCAGATAAGTTATTCCCCGAAAACTGGTGAATTATAAAATACTTGTCAGGACAACGTATGTTTCCCATTTGTTTGGTTATGGTCATAGCCTTAGAATGACACCCTGTCAGCCAACACAGAACACAGAACAACTTTCACGGCACACACTACTGACAAATAGCGAGTCTGATGCCGACGTGCGTAACTGGACAAAATGGAAAACAATGAAAGCAACAAGTACTTCATGATTTGCCGTTGTATTCGGCAATGTTTCGGGCAGTCTGCAGCATTTAGGGCTCCAAACCGAAAAGAACGTCAAAGCGGAACATTTTCAAGCTCATGTAAAATCTCTTACTGATTTTCTTAATATACATCTCATAGGTACCTGTGGAACTGCCCCAGTTACAAAATGCCCCAGCAAATTTGGTCATTCATTCTAATTTGGTCACATTTATTTAAAATGATTAAACATATGCCGTAAATGCATAGTTTTTGTCAACTTTGATGTTATGTTCTTCATATAAAAGTTATTAAGAAGTAATATTTCTGATAAATGTTCCATCAGTAAACTCATAACTATGTATATACTTTTATATGAAGAACATATTATCAAAGTTGACAAAACTATGCATTTATGGCCTATATTTAATCATTTAAAATAAATTGGGGCATTTTAACTACCCCTCTTGGGCAATTTGACCAAAACTCCGGAGCAATTTGACCAAATTTTGCTGGGGCAATTCGACTGGCAATCGTACTTGATTTAATTTATGTTAAAAATACCACTGACAATAAGCTGTAACAGGGAATGATGGAGTAGAAATGAATCTCGTGGGTAATTCTTCCTTCTTCAGCCTAGCTTTGGGATTTGTATGCCCCATGTGTGCTTGTCTCTTTCATATGCGTCAGACTCGGAATGATCGGAGCATTTCTCCTGCCTAAGTCTATCTCTTTACATGGAAAACAGAAGAAATGGTGGCTTTCCATTGTTCGATGATTCCGTGCATCCCCAGGCAACAGAATACACCATCGTACCATTTACAAAAACGACAGAAACAACACGATTTGTACTACCGTAGCGCTTGGTCATTTTGCAATATGGCGGACTCCAGGCACATTGACGTCACGAGCGGAAAGGTCCCGTGGGTTCAAGCGAAATATGCATAATGGCCGAAGCTGAGATTTACAGAAACTGTTTTCGCGATTAAAACATAATTATACATATTTTTTAATTGAAAATTTGGGAATATGTTTCTGATGACTTTATCTTTCACCCAGCAAATTATTGCAATTCACTCGTATTCTCCTTTAAAAGACAAAATATACTATCCAAAAAAGGAAACGCATAGGCATTTTGTATTTTTCAAAATCTAATACATTACCTATTGTGTTCAAACAATCGTCAAAATATGCAATAAAAGTGTTGCTAACATGATTTACACAATTGCATAAGTGAAAAATCGATTTTACCTGAAAATGTAGATTTTGATGAGATTTCTTACAAGGATTAAAGCTGCATCGCCACAACGCAACAGAAATCACCTTCCACTTGAAATTGTGCAGCAAAGAGCATGCACTGTCTAAACATGCAGATGACTTTCGGAAATCGGCATTCGTTTTGAAGAAGTTTCAAGGTCAAATCACTACGCCACGTCTTGACGCTGCGACACGGAACATCGCTATTGAAAGAATGCACGCTGGCGATTACCAATCTTCCGTTGCCGGGAGCCTGAATGTTAGTATGAGCACGATATCACTGCTTGCAGCTCGTTACAACAAAACAGGCATAACAAATGCCCGTCCCCGTACAGGCAGACCTCGAGTCACCACTGTAGCCCAAGATCGGTACATCCGGGTACTACATTTGCGTGATCGTACTGCCACGTGTGAGAGCACAGCAGCCAGTGTGCCTGGACTTCTGAGGATATCCAGTAAACTGTACGGAACAGGTTGAGAGAGATTGGACTGAGAGCCAGGAGACCTGACGTCGGGCCCGCGCTACGTCGTCACCATGGCGCTCAACTTCTCTGTTATCTAACATTATCCACTTGGTTGTATAGACATTTCCTTCTCCTAAACTGATGTAAAAATCCATGTACTAAAGTCTATTTGTGGACGAGTTATACATGTTTGAAAATACAACAAGTCCCTGAAAATCAGTGCTGGCACCTGATGTTTGCAAATACGGTAAGTTTGCATCCAATACTCACACAGATTTCATAACAGTAAATAAATGCTGGCCAGAGAATAAACAGTAAAATCTCGATGTGAAGGTCGTAGTACGAGATAGCGCCACACATCATATAGACAGTCATACGTAGCGAGTGAGTGAGTGAGTTTAGTTTTACGCCGCACTCAGCAATATTCCAGCTATATGGTGGCGGTCTGTAAATAATCGTGTCTGAACCAGTCAATCCAGGGATCAACAGCATGGACATCGATCTGCGCAATTAGGATACGATGACATGTGTCAACCCAATCAGCGAGCCTGACCCGTTAGTCGCCTCTTACGACAAGCATGAGTTGCTGAAGAAGAATTCTAACCCGGACATTCACGGGTCCATACGTAGTACACACTGGATGGCGGTTGTACAAATTCTGGAGTTACTTAAACAGGCCTCTGGTGGTGAAACATTGATCGAAAGGCTTCGTTGTCAGCAAAATATGCGATTCTGTGACTTTTGATTAATATGTACATGCTCAACTGTTAGTGCCCTGGAGCTGATGGGGCATTGCTTGGTATGAAAAATTCAAATCAATTTTGGTCCATAGTTTACGACCATTTTTAATTCCTCTGCACACATCAGTACAAACAGCATGGTACGTCACGTCACCGACATAGGCCAGGTAAATAAGTGTTATTTACAACGTCATCCAAAGACCGTTTTCAAAGAAAAGGTGTACAACAACATCCACTCAGAAGAAACGATTCCTGGAGAACAAACAATGTTGGGTGGTACCAGCTATCAACTGCAACGTCAGCGGCATCGTGCGATAGCTGTGTGTTTCAGCAACAATTCGTGCTGCATCGAGGTGATGATCGGGGAATGTGAGTTTACCGACGTCTCTATGAAAGTTTTAGCAAGAAATGCAGAATGCATCCCTGCATAATGTCAGATATGATTGTAGTGGCGCAATGATGTGGGTGGTTATCTACCACACGTATAGAACAAACCTAAAACATGGTCCTAAAACGTTAGCATTATCAACCAAAGCGTGCAGTAGCTATTTAATATACGTCTTTACGGGTCCCTTTATTTCTCCTCATAGATCACCTGTGATAAGAGTTTGATCCGCACGTGTGACAGCGTGTTCCTGAACAACAGACGCTGCGATAGTGCTGCTCAGTACTCGTTCCTAATGATGAAATGTGTTTTTCCCCAGTCTTTAAATCCTGTCCATTAGGCTATCCTCAACATCGAAGCAGTCTTTTGTGTTATTACCACTTACTTCAGAGATAGTGTCAGATGAAAAGTAAATACGATGAACTTGTGAAGCTTCGTCCATTTAATTTTCATATGGTATAATAAAGCTGTTTAAGTATGAGAATGTCTGTGTGTCTGCGTCTGTGTCTGTGTGTGTCTACAGTAGTTGTGTTTATTTCCCGGTTTCACAATATCGACGACTCAAGGATCCGGTTCAAGGAGACGCAATGAGAGTAGGATTGTGTGGCAGGGTTAACTTAGAGGCTACAACAAAGTATATACCAATTAGCCTGACTGTAATAGTTAAGAACTGTTGCACAAGACAGCATTCTGTCACTAATGTAAGCTCAGTCCTATGTTTAATCTGCAAACATATAGGCGTTCGAAAGGTTTAAGACAGGTGTTGGTAATTGAGGGTTGTAAACGCAAAAGTTAAATCTTCAGCACGACATGACATAATGCATTACACAGCTTGCAAAACTGCACATATACAAATTACCATTAGCACATACTTGTAAATGTATTCCTCCTGCTTTGCAGACGTGCAGGATGCGTCAATGCGTTTGCATGACAAAATACACGTGTTAATACTTTACGTTCATGTGCATGGGTATGCAACCAAACGCACGCGAGGTGGGCATACGTCTATATTCTGATGTAGATCTTAACGTTGGTTGGTTGGTTGGTTTGTTGTTTAACGCCGCACTCAGCAGTATTCCAGCTATGTGGCGGCGGTCTGTAATTAATCGAGTCTCCACCAGACAATCCAGTGATCAACAGCACGAGCATCGATGTACGCAACTGGGATAGATGACATGTGTCAACCAAGTCAGCGAGTCTGACCACCTGATCCCGTTAGTCGCCTCTTACGACAAGCATGGGTTACTGAAGATCAATTCTAACCTTGGTTCTTCGCGGGTATAGATCTTAATGATTGCTGGTGCCACAGTTAGGTCATCCAACAGCTTAATGGGCATGTTTCATTATGCACATCGGATCCAAATTAATAGGGTTTGTAAACGAGTAGTCTGCAATGACATTTTCCAAGAAACCATGAATTCCATATTTAAAATCTAAAAATCTAAAATCTAAAAATATAGTTTTATAACACGGGTCACATCTCATGGTATAATCCTGCCTTACTCGAGTGGTAAGGTTTTGGTCCTCAACGCTCCTCGGGTGATTCGGATTACGAATCTTAACTTCAACAGCTCAGCACTGGGTAAACTCAGCCTTTTGAACAACGCCACGAAAATGCAGTGTAAATGCAGTCGGAATTTCCAAATAACAGATCTGAATCAGAAAATTAAGCTAGGAGTGTGTCCTCTATATTTCCGCGAAAATATTAAATAAACTTAGTAACTATAAACATATATTGTATGATAGTAAATAATAGAGCATTTGATCCGTAACACAAACCTGTACTCCAAAGCTGTAATAAAGTGTTTCAGAGAATAAAATTATTAAAATAATATCAGAAGAATCTAAAAAGGTTAATGAATGTGAATCAAATTACGTGTACATTCTAAGTAGCGTTACACTGAAAACGTGAGTGAAAAGCAACATTGCTCGTCTTCGCTTAGAACATCTGGCGTATCTCATCCTTTGTCGATGTACTGCAATACTAAATTGGTGTGTCATTTACTCACAAAAAGGTCACAGAAGAAAACTTGTTGGTGAAATGTTAGAATTATTAAACCACAAAGTATCAGTTACCGCAACTTTTAAGATTTCATGTTTTCGCCAAATATCGAGTGTGGACATCGTCAGATGTCTGTATTCGCGATCTTTTTAGCTTCTGCATAGCATATTTCTTCCACAACGAGCGATAATGTCTATTTAATCTGACGAATTAGAAACGACAGAACTTTATTTTGTAGACTTTATTACAAAGCAATATCAACCTGTACAAAACACAAGGTGACATACATTTCAACCAGAGTTCCTATATAATCCGATAATGGATTTACAATATTCTTAACACGCTTGGAAAGGTCTGAATAGTGACCGGTTTAAAGGTCTGCAGCTGTGCTGGCGGTAATCATGTAGTAAGCTTTGGTGTTTCTGCATGAAAGCCTTGATGTTTCGGTAAAGGGATGGTTCCGTGGCGGTTCTGCGAATCCGACGTAAGAGGCTAAGGGACGCAACTCTGCAAGGCGCGTTCCGTCTAAGGCATCTGTGGCACATTGCTTTCCTAAACTGAAAAAAGCCACACGGTGCGTGCGGTGCTTGTACTACTCCTGATAATGTCGGTATTATATTGCCAGCCCCTTCAAGTACATTGATGCTTGCACCTCCCCATGAGTCTCTTTCCATAACACATTGGTCTGAGTGACGCTGGCCACGTCGTCGCCATATTCTTGTTCTGCCATCTGCACTTGATACGCAGTACCGACTCTCATCTTTGAACAGAACAGTTCACTATTGCCTGTGTCGCCAGTTTTCGTGTTGTAGGGCAAACTGCAGACGTTCACGCCGATGACGAGGGATGAGGATAGGTCCACGGTAAGGTCTACGGCAATGGAGGTTCCCGCTGTTATGACGTCGTCGTACTGTATCAGTACTGATTGGTCTTCCGTGTGTTCCCACTGTCTGGCGTGCTGTTTCGGATGCCTGCATGAAGAGATTCTGTACTTGCTGTCGCACAACATGGCGGTCTTGTCGTCTTGTGGTCACCCTTGGTCTGCCAGTACGGGGGGAATCATTTGTGGTGTTGGTGGCCCGGAAACGTTGCTGCAGCCTGTAGATGGTCCAAACGTTGACCTGGAAGTGATTGGCAACGGTTTGTGCAGTGAGGCCAGCTTCAAGTCTTCTTTGCGCCTTGTTCCCCTGAGCTGTCGTGAGAAGGGGCATCCTGCTGACGTTATAATGTGAATGTTTCAACCAGGTTTGGGGGTGCATTTTATAGGGCTGGTCCTTGTAAACAGCACGTGCAGCATGAGTTGCATGAAAAACATGGAGAACACCGTACCATCTCCGAGATCAGGTTGCGTTTTTGAGACCATTTCCTGGGTTCCATTCTGAGTTTGGAAATAAATGTCTTTGCTCAGGTAAAGTTGGAGATGTTGTCAAAAATATACAATCAAAACATTAAATGAGTTTACAGTTATCCGTTTCTGCGAAGGAAAATTCCAAACTGACGTATTTTTGCTGCATAGTATATTTACAGCCTGCCGCCATACAGCTGGAATATTGCTGAGTGCATCGTTAAACAACAAACCATCAACCAGTTAACATTTACTCACCTTATTTACAGTCCTTATTTAAACCCCTCGATGTTGAGAGCAAGGCAGGGGAACAAGAAGTACCATCTTACACTATTTTTGGTAGGCGTGGTCGGGGATCATACCACAGGGCTGAATAGGCTTACCAATGGGCTTATCAATTTATAAAAGAAGTAAAGTACATATTAAATTGGTTTACATGCTGTATCTTGAACAAGTTCGTATGTGATATCTACTTGTATCTAATATCTGAATATAATTGATTGGAACATACAAACAAGTATTTCATTAGTACAAGTACCTCGAACGTCATTCTCATACCGAGTCATTCCGATTGATATGTGCCGAGTGAGTTTCGTTATCGTCTTTCCGTAACTAACAGAGATTATTCCTCTCTGCTATTATTCGTTGTACACTCGTCATTTAAACTCAAATGCTAGGTATTAGTTTACTTTTATTAATCAATGCACTCGCCACGCAAGCTTATTGAGCATAAAAACATAAAATGCATAAAACATAATAATACATTAATTAATCATAGTGTTAAGTAAGGTAACAAATGAAACGATGTGCAGTGGCCGTTTTCTTTCAATACTAACAATTATTGTCACTGGGGGGATGCAAGTAAACTACATGATAAACCAGATGGATATATTTTGCAGCTAGTTTATAAAATAATGAAAGGGGTCACAAAGATGACTACATTTCCCAATTAATTCAAAGACAAACCTGTTTTTCATTTCTGTTGATCAAAGTCAGGATACCCGATTATCTGCGCTTGAAGGCGCAACATAGATCGCAAATCATATTTATGGGATATCATCCGGGTATGCACGGGGGAAAAATAATAACAACCAGCCTCAGCGAATTGTCGGAGATCAGGGCCCCTTTATGGCTGATTTCCAACCTCTATTAATTTAAGAAACTTAAAGTTTTATCACTCGCTACTGTAGAATTTCCTGCCTGTGACTAATGTATAAGTATAGACCCAACAAAGATATTTACTGACGTAGGTTGGAGTGATAATTCATCTCCGTCACGTCCAAGTGCCGATAGGCCAGGTTGCTCAACCGTACTCCGTATACTACTTTCCACCGACTTATAACACATACTTCGAAACTGATAGTAAATACGTCTTGAATGTCCTATGGAATATTATAAAAATGTTACCAGCGCCTAAGCACATCAGCCATATTTACCGTTTGATAATAGGTCATCCATGAGAAGATAACGTATTTCATACATTTTAAAAAAAAGAAATGCATCAAATTTGAATATGGTCTTATGTGGGACGTCAACTGAATGAATGAATTATCTATCGCTCTTGATAATGATAACCTCACACTTCTGCACCATAATGTAATACTGGCTTCATTTTGGTATTAAAGAGCTTAAAAAGAATATTAACTGGAATATTTAAATACTTGTAGATTAACTTCTTAATAGAAAATAATGCCTTGTTTGCTTTGGTTGATAGTGTTTCTGTACATTTAGTCCATGACAGTTGTGTAGAGAAGAGTATTCCCAGATAGTTGTAGTATGTAGAGGCTTTGAACTTCTCATATGGTACTTTAATAAGTTTCACAGTGAAAATTAGTATTAATACTTTCACAAGCAAGAAGATAAAAACATATGATATCCATGGAAGCGCTCTGAAAATCTTCGCATGCTCCTTCACTCGAATCTTCTCATGGATCACAAGAGAAGACGTTGATGCTCTCGCATCATCACAGGCAACAAAATAGCCACTGGCCCGCTAGCCCGTGGCTAGTAAAAATCCCAAGTGGCTAGTAAATTTTCATGGGGTCATTTTGTGACATATCAGTCTCTCCGACTTATTAAGTTATAACACACTTTTAAAGCATGCAAGATTATGGCCTGATAAAAATATTCATCATATTAGCAGCTTAATGATGAAACCCGTGTCCACATTCAAATTTCGGACTAGTGAATTATTTTGTTGGCTAGTAACTTTCAGGCATAGCTAGTCCGACTGGCAAGCAATATTTAGAAACTATTTCGCACACTGCTCTGAAACAACAATCAGTAACTCGACCAATTACAAAGAGAAACGAAATATCTGGTTCTTTCAACAGACGGTTACATCAAGATCTGAGAAACGAATATATGTTATGTGGGTAATAGTATCCCCAGCAGTCGCAACGCTTCCGGGTTTTATTGTAAACAGCGAACCTGGAGAATTAGTCTCAAAGTTATCCGCAACGAGTGCACATACAAACGGGTGTCATGAATCACAACAAGGAAGGGTCCATTATTGGGTTGATGCCCTACCAATACGTCCACGTATTGGATCTGGTGAGCTATTTGACAGGTCCAGTTATTGACAGGTGCCCGTCACCTCGGACGGGTCTTTGTCGATCGCTCAATTCACTAGGTCATGAGCAATCAACCAGCACGTTACAAATTTGACCATGATCTGCAAGCCTGCTGACCTGTTTCGAATTATGTATATGTTTCTACTACACAAGTGTAATGTAATCGTTATAAATCCCGCATAAAAAATGTTGACCGCATCGCGGCTCTCGGCTAAGTTTTACCATGCGTCTGCAGGGGTTCAAAACTCCCATAGCCCGACGCCCGGGACAAGTCAGTTTTCATTTCGGGCAATCAAATAATGGTATCTTACTTGTCCGTGGGCTACTAGATAATCTCTGCTTTCGGTTTCAAACTGCAAATAAGCTTGGATTTCATTTCATATCTGCTCAAAATGTAGCTATTAAATTTTGCAATGATAATTAAGTAGAGTTATTCTTCTGTGCCATTTATCACTTCTCAAATAGTCCAGTGGACATTAACATCAAATGCCATGTTGATTTATTCTTTCATAATTACATCATGACGATTATGTCATAAAAATCATGGCAAGTGGAAAATTAGCCAGGACAAGTTACTTTCTTAAAGTCACTTGCCCTGTGGCAAGTGGCTTTTAAAAAAACATTTGAACCCCTGAGTCTTTAGCTTTTTCTTGCAAACTTGATAACCCTTACATATTTGCTTATAATCCAAGTATGACCTTTGTGATTTGATGTGATATTCCTGAAACTCAGGATGCTACTTGATATGTCTCTATTTGTCAAACCATTGCGAGATGATCAAGTTAGTTTTATGTTTGATATGACAAATACATACTGGTCGTGTCCTGTGTTGCAGACAACGAACATCACACGGCTAGAGGTCGGGCCACAGACCCTCGTCCTGAAGAGTAATGAACGTCTTGAGGCTGGACCTTTACCTATGATCGTTGTCCCTCCTGGTCACTACATCAGTGTCACAGACCCCATCAGGTGAGGTCATCTTGGTCACGATAACAGCATCACAGACCCCATCATGTGAGGTAATCTCGGTCACCATAATAGCATCACAGACCCCATCAGGTGAGGTAATCTCGGTCACCATAACATCATCACAGACCCCATCAGGTGAGGTCATCTCGGTCACCATAACATCATCACAGACCCCATCAGGTGAGGTCATCTCGGTCACCATAACAGCATCACAGACCCCATCAGGTGAGGTAATCTCGGTCACCATAACATCATCACAGACCCCATCAGGTGAGGTCATCTCGGTCACCATAACATCATCACAGACCCCATCAGGTGAGGTCATCTCAGTCACGATAACAGCATCACAGACCCCATCAGGTGAGGTCATCTCGGTCACCATAACACCATCACAGACCCCATCATGTGAGGTAATCTCGGTCACCATAATAGCATCACAGACCCCATCAGGTGAGGTAATCTCGGTCACCATAACATCATCACAGACCCCATCAGGTGAGGTCATCTCGGTCACCATAACATCATCACAGACCCCATCAGGTGAGGTCATCTCAGTCACCATAACAGCATCACAGACCCCATCAGGTGAGGTCATCTTGGTCACGATAACAGCATCACAGACCCCATGAGGTGAGGTCATCTCAGTCACCATAATAGCATCACAGACCCCATCAGGTGAGGTCATCTCGGTCACGATAACAGCATCACAGACCCCATCAGGTGAGGTCATCTCAGTCACCATAATAGCATAAGGTAGTCACCAGCATTACAGACCCCATGAGGTGAGGTCATCTCAGTCACGATAACAGCATTACAGACCCCATCAGGTGAGGTCATCTTGGTCATGATAACAGCATCACAGACCCCATCAGGTGAGGTCATCTTGGTCACGATAACAGCATCACAGACCCCATCAGGTGAGGTCATCTCAGTCACGATAACAGCATCACAGACCCCATCAGGTGAGGTCATCTCAGTCACCATAACAGCATCACAGACCCCATCAGGTGAGGTCATCTTGGTCATGATAACAGCATTACAGACCCCATCAGGTGAGGTCATCTCAGTCACCATAACATCATCACAGACCCCATCAGGTGAGGTCATCTCGGTCACCATAACATCATCACAGACCCCATCAGGTGAGGTCATCTTGATCACTTCATCAGTGTCACAGACCCCATCAGGTGAGGTCATCTCAGTCACCATAACAGCATCACAGACCCCATCAGGTGAGGTCAGTCACGATCATAATAGCATCACAGACCCCATCAGGTGAGGTCATCTCAGTCATGATAATACATCACAGACCCCATCAGGTGAGGTCATCTCAGTCCGATAGGTACAGCATCACAGACCCCATCAGGTGAGGGTAATCTTGGTCCACGATAACAGCATCACACAGACCCCATCAGATGAGGTCATCTCAGTCACTATAATAGCATCACAGACCCCATCAGGTGAGGTCATCTCAGATCACTTCATCAGCATCACAGACCCCATCAGGTGAGGTCATCTCAGTCACAATAACAGCATCACAGACCCCATCAGGTGAGGTCATCTCAGTCACTTCAACAGCATCACAGACCCCATCAGGTGAGGTCATCTCGGTCACCATAACAGCATCACAGACCCCATCAGGTGAGGTCATCTCAGTCACGATAACACCGTCACAGACCCCATCAGGTGAGGTCATCTCGGTCATGATTACACATCACAGACCCCATCAGGTGAGGTCATCTCAGTCACGATAACAGCATCACAGACCCCATGAGGTGAGGTCATCTCGGTCACCCTAACAGCATCACAGACCCCATCAGGTGAGGTAATCTCGGTCACCATAACACCATCACAGACCCCATCAGGTGAGGTCATCTCGGTCACCATAACAGCATCACAGACCCCATCAGGTGAGGTCATCTCGGTCAACATAACAGCATCACAGACCCAATCAGGTGAGGTCATCTCAGTCACGATAACAGTGTCACAGACCCCATCAGGTGAGGTCATCTCAGCCACGATAACACCATCACAGACCCCATCAGGTGAGGTAATCTCAGTCACCATAACACCATCACAGACCCCATCAGGTGAGGTAGTCTTGGTCACCATAACATCATCACAGACCCCATGAGGTGAGGTCATCTCGGTCACCATAACATCATCACAGACCCCATGAGGTGAGGTCATCTCGGTCACCTAACAGGTGTTGATCTCCCAATATATGTACTCCTACTAAATGTTTGCATCAAGTCTGGTAGGTAATCTAGCAAGACTAATCACAATCTCTGAGCCATTGCTTTTGACCTGGCTATACACAAGCATATTTCTAGGTGTTGATGAAGATGGGTTTTGTTTAATGCTTTGCTGTTTCTCTTCTAGCCACTATGAGGCAGGCAAGGCATGTGAGCTCAAACTTGGACACAAGGAAGTAAGACTTCATCAGGTAGGTGACTTCAATCAAATGACACATTTGCCTTTAGATACCATGGTGCCTCCTCCAAGACACATAGGTCAAAGTGACATTATTACAAAATTGCCAAATTTAACTTCAGCAATGGACCTTCTTGAAAAGTGAGGACCTGTGTGAAAAATGATCTAGCACTAATTGCTGGAATTGATTTTCATATTTACTACAGAACATTTGATAGGGATATTCTGAGAGTGGTACCTTAAAACAATTAGTGTGTGTGATTGGTTGATTGGAGATAATTCCATGTAACTTGAGCATGTCCAACTTCATATTAAGTAGGTACATTATTACTACATAATTTAAGTAAACCAGTTTCTGTCCTCTAGTTGTGGAATGAATTCTGTTGTATGGTGTGGTGTCAGACATCAAACAAGTCTAGCATTGAAGTGCATTATCAGTGTATGAAATAAGCCCAAAACCCAGCCCGACATCTGGGCTGGTAACTCCAAAAACTTACCAACCCAGAAGAGATTTAACCAGTCCTTCTTAAATACTAGATAGACAGCATCAGTGGACATGTTATTTGAATAGTTTTTTCCACCCGTCCATCGGGCTGGCTAGCTGTAAAATTAGACTGTCCGGCTGAAATCTAGCCCGTCTCGGGCGGTCGGACGGGCCTTATTTCATACACTGGCATTATCCAAAGTCCTGCATCTGACTGTGGTGTTGAATTATACTTTATCTTATCTTGGCACGGTACATGATATGCGTCGTCATGAGTCTTGCATGTTGCTGAATCATCTGGGGTCATGCTTGTGGATATATTTATGGACAAATGTTTTCAGTGATGGAGGACAAAATGAGTCAAACAGAAACAGTCCTCTTTACTATTCTCTTCTTTTTTGTTCACAACATACTGCAGATACTTTATGTCTTCATGATAGCCTGAATCTCTCTTCTTCCTTGCAGGACCCATTCCCTCTCTACCCAGGAGAATCACTCACGCTGGCCCCAGAATACGTCCAGCAGAGAGGTCAGTACCAGAAGGCTGTCCGTCCCCTCCCTGTTATCAATGCCAACCATGCAATCCGCCTCCGTGCCCTCTTTGACCTGGAGGACTCTGGGGTGAAGAGGAAGGAAGAGGAGATGTGGCAGCTGCCTGGACCACTGACCTACATCCCTAGAGCTGATGTGGTGAGTAGCCTACATCCCTAGAGCTGATGTGGTGATGAGCCTACATCCCTAGAGCTGACGTGGTGATGAGCCTACATTCCTAGAGCTGATTGGGGTAGGCTACATTCCTAGAACTGATGTGTTGAGTAGGCTACATCCCTAGAGCTGACGTGGTGAGTAGCCTACATCCTTACAGCTGATGTGGTGAGTAGCCTACATCCCTAGAGCTGACGTGAGAAACCCACATTCCTAGAGCTGATGTGGTGAGTAGCCTACATACCTAGAGCTGATGTGGGGAGTAGCCTGCATCCCTAGAGCTGATGTGGTGAGTAGCCTGCATTCCTAGAGCTGATGTGGTGAGTAGCCTACATCCCTAGAGCTGATGTGGTGAGTAGCCTACATCCCTAGAGCTGATGTGGTGAGTAGCCTACATTCCTAGAGCTGATGTGGTGAGTAGCCTACATTCCTAGAGCTGATGTGGTGAGTAGCCTACATCCCTAGAGCTGATGTGGTGAGTAGCCTACATTCCTAGAGCTGATGTGGTGAGTAGCCTACATTCCTAGAGCTGATGTGATGAGTAGCCTACATTTCTAGAGCTGATGTGGTGAGTAGGCTACATTCCTAGAGCTGATGTGGTGAGTAGCCTACATTCCTAGAGATGATGTGGTGAGAAACCCACATTCCTAGACCTGACGTAGTGAGTAGCCTACATTCCTAGAGCTGATGTGGTGAGTAGCCTACATTCCTAGAGCTGATGTGTTGAGTAGCCTACATCCCTAGAGCTGATGTGGTGAGTAGCCTACATTCCTAGAGCTGATGTGGTGAGTAGCCTACATTCCTAGAGCTGATGTGATGAGTAGCCTACATTCCTAGCTGATGTGGTGAGTAGCCTGGAGCTGATGTGGTGAGTAGGCTACATTCCTAGAGCTGATGTGGTGATTAGCCTACATTCCTAGAACTGATGTGGTGAGTAGCCTACATTCCTAGAGCTGATGTGGTGAGTAACCCACATTCCTAGAGCTGATGTGGTGAGTAGCCTACATTCCTAGAGCTGATGTGTTGAGTAACCCACATTCCTAGAGCTGATGTGGTGAGTAAACCACATTCCTAGAGCTGATGTGGTGAGTAAACCACATTCCTAGAACTGATGTGGTGAGTAGCCTACATTCCTAGAGCTGATGTGGTGAGTAGCCTACATCCCTAGAGCTGATGTGGTGAGTAACCTTCATCCCTACAGCTGATGTGTCGAGTAGCCTACATTCCTGGAGCTGATGTGGTGAGTAACCCACATTCCTAGAGCTGATGTGGTGAGTAACCCAAATTCCTAGAGCTGATGTGGTGAGTAGCCTACATCCCTAGAGCTGATGTGGTGAGTAGCCTACATGCCTAGAGATGATGTGGTGAGTAGCCTGCATTCCTAGAGCTGATGTGGTGAGTAACCTACATCCCTACAGCTGATGTGGTGAGTAACCCACATTCCTAGAGCTGATGTGGTGAGTAGCCTACATTCCTAGAACTGATGTGGGTGAGTAGCCTACATTCCTAGAGCTGATGTGGTGAGTAACCTTCATACCTACAGCTGATGTGTCGAGTAGCCTACATTCCTGGAGCTGATGTGGTGAGTAACCCACATTCCTAGAGCTGATGTGGTGAGTAACCCACATTCCTAGAGCTGATGTGGTGAGTAGCCTACATCCCTAGAGCTGATGTGGTGAGTAGCCTACATGCCTAGAGCTGATGTGGTGAGTAGCCTGCATTCCTAGAGCTGACGTGGTGAGTAACCTACATCCCTACAGCTGATGTGGTGAGTAACCCACATTCCTAGAGCTGATGTGGTGAGTAACCCACATTCCTAGAGATATGATGTGGTGAGTAGCCTACATCACTGGAGCTAATGTGGTGAGTAGCCTACATTCCTAGAGATGATGTGGTGAGTAGCCTACATTCCTGGAGCTGATGTGGTGAGTAACCCACATTACTAGAGCTGATGTGAGTAGCCTACATCCCTAGAGCTGATGTGGTGAGTAGGCCACATTCCTAGAGCTGATGTTGTGAGTAACCTACATTCCTAGAGCTGAGTAGGCTACATCCCTAGAGCTGATGTGGTGACTAAGCTACATCCCTAGAGCTGATGTGTTGAGTAGACCACATTCCTAGAGCCGATGTGGTGAGTAGACCACATTCCTAGAGCTGATATGTTGAGTAGACCACATTCCTAGAGCTGATGTGGCCACATTCCTAGAGCTGATGTGTTGAGTAGACCACATTCCTAGAGCCTATGTGTTGAGTAGACCACATTCCTAGAGCTGATATGTTGAGTAGACCACATTCCTAGAGCTGATGTGGCGAGTAGACCACATTCCTAGAGCCTATGTGTTGAGCTGATGTGGCGAGAGACCACATTCCTAGAGCTGATGTGGCAAGTAGACCAAATTCCTAGAGCTGAGCTGTTGAGTACACCACATTCCTAGAGCTGATGTGGCGAGTTGCCTACATTCCTAGAGCTTATGTGTTGAGTAACCTACATTCCTAGAGCTGATGTGTTGAGTAGGCCACATTCCTAGAGCTGATGTGGCGAGTAGACCACATTGCTAGAGCTGATGTGGCGAGTAGACCACATTTCTAGAGCTGCAATGGTGAGAAGACTGAAACATCATTAGATTTTGTCCTAATTGTTAAGGTAATTGAAGCAGATAGCTGTTAGTACTGACCAGTTCATACACCCAAAGTGTGATGTTATTATATATTAATTATTTGATTTCACATACTTTCATATATGTCATCAAGTATCATGTTCAGTAAACCTGATCAGTAATTGTTATGATTGTTGTCATCCTACAGGAGGTTGTGAAGATTGTGCAGCCGTTCATCATCAGGAATGGAGATTCCCTCAATCTACGGGCCATTCAGGACTGTTATGATAACGAAGGAAAGTAAGGATGGTTACCAATGCCTTTTAGAAAGTGGTCAAATGTAACCTGTTTGTGATTACACTTTCTGAGGTCCAGATTCTAATGCTTTACTCTGTGTGCTGGCGCTTATGTGCTTCTCTTTGAGAGTGGGAATTCAAATCCTAGGTGGGACTCAACCCAAAGGTACTACACTCTGTACTCTGTAATCACAAATTTAACATGAAGAGGTGATTAAAAAAATAACCCATTTTTGGAATAGTCCTTGTTTTTTTCTTGTACGTTCAAATAGATGTCACTCTTACCTTGTAGGATATGTTTTCTCTGTTTGTAAATGTACTTGCCAATTAGAAATTAATGTTTTCTTTTGAGTTTGATAATTAAGATTAGTATGTTAAGGACATGACTGGATGTTTCATATGACTAAAGGGAAATAACTCTCCATGAAACCATATTACCTCCCCTGTCAAGAGTCCCTTTCCACAGGTTATAGTGCCCAGTGTAAGACTCCTCTGTATCAAGTTACACACACTTTGTACATCATGGCATCTACGTGAGCAGACAAATGAATTTTGAATTACCTCAAGCACATTTACAAGGACAGTTATTTCAGAACCCAGTTTCTAAATTAAGTAGGGCAGCATCCACTATTGAACACTTAAAGCTCATATTTGGGCCATTATCAATACCAGTCGATTAAAATCTACAGATGACTGTATTAAGTCCCTTTAGTTCATGTTGCTATAGTGGTTGGGTAGACTAGTGCTTAGGCGGTCACTCAACATGCTGAGATCCGGTTTCGTTTCCCCACATGAGCACAGTGTGAAGCCCTTTTCTGGTGTCCCCTGCTATGATATTGCTGGAATATTGCTAAGAGCGGGATAGAACTAAACTCACTCACTCACTCAGTCATGTGGCTATATTTCCTGTGAATGTTTTTTTGTATTGGAATAAAGTCTGCAATCCACTAAGATATGATCTGTACGTGAATATCTATTTAGATGTTACTGATGTCAAGTGTTCTGATTGGATGAATTTTAAGTGTATGGCTGAGTGTCTATGTTCATGAAACTTTATACTTATTCCCAGAATTATGCCATTGTTGAGCTGAGAAATTATCTTCAATTAAATTTGGCATCCTGGATGCAAAGAGTTGAGGATGCGATTTAGAATTTTTCTTAAACAACCATGCTTATAGTAAGAGGCGACTAACAGGATCAGGTGGTCGGGCTCACTGTCATTGTATTCCAATTGCTTAGGTTGATCCTCAGGATGTTAATCACTGAATTGTGTGGTCCAAAGACGATTAATTACTTACCATTGTTATATTACTACGAATCTGTTGGTAAAAGTTCTTTGTATGTATCTAGATTTTGGAAGAGGAAAAAAATTGATATTCATGAAGCTTCAAGTGAACAAGAACAGGTTCATAGTTTGGATGCATTTTTCAGCGATCGTGTGACTGGCGAGGAATGGCTTGTGTCAACACCAGGGGCTTATGTTCCAGGAGTGTTTGAAGAGGTGAGACACAGTCTGTTTACTTTCTCTAGTACAGTATGCCATCGTACAAAGTGATCTTTGCACTAAGGTGACCATAACTCTCTTACCTTAACATGGACTTACAACAGTCGTAGCGCTAAGGTTGCCTTGTACACCAGCACACAGGGCTTGATTTTATAAGTAGTGGTTTTCTGTTTAATTGAAATATTCAAAGATTGGCCGCAGTGACCAAACGATCAAGCAGTCAATCTCATTTTCTCATAATCACAAACGAATTTTGAACTACTGTTTAGTGTTTGAAACACTTGACATTTCTTATAAGTCATCAGGGCCTGAAAACGTGTTTAATTCTTACAAAACTCACTTTCACATACTGAAAAGTCATGACTCAGTATTTCTTGAAGACTCTGGGAAGTTCATGATATATAAGTCATCACTTTAAAGGAGCAAGTTGCATCATTTTACATTGGATGTGAAATTTGTGCAGTTCTTAAATAAAACAAAAACCTACAGAAAACCATACGTTTTGGTTTTTAACTTATCTGCCTTAGCAACCTGAACAATAAAATCTGAAGAATGACACGAACCAATTTTTTTCGATGATTACCCGTTGATAATGAACCAATCATCAATAGTGAGATTTCAACTAATTCTCAACACTAGTTATAAGTACACGTAGTGCCATGTTGGAAACTGTTGACATACATAATTCAGTTATGAGTTGGCACTGGTGTGTGTGTGGCTAAGGGAAGGGCAAAGAGAAGAGAGTGAGGTGTATATAGATGTTTGTCGGTGGCAATGATGTTTGAAGAGAGCGGTGTACACAAAATGTCCATGTGTGTGGAATGGTGTGGTGTAATTTAGTGTAATAATTAAGGCACATACTTATTAACATTCTAAAACAAATGTACAAATTATGACGTTATCCATGGTGACATGGATTTGTTTCTCATATTTTCATAACTACTGTCAGCATTGACCAATTTCTTTTACTCATAACTTTTTTATTAAATCTCTAATAATGTGATTTCACTTCAGTTGTATTGTGCTTCACTGTAGGTACTCGATGTGAAATCGAAGATAACCTTGACCCATGATGCTGGCCTGCACCTTCGAGCCACTCGGACATTAACTGATGCGTATGGTGACAGCAGGTAAATTGAGTTGTAAAATCATCCATTTGACCATTAGGGTAACTGTGCAGCTGCGATACATGTAATACGTGTTCTATTGTGATTACACTTTCTCAGTAAAGTATAGATTCCAGTGATTTTGTTGGGCTAGGTTTGGTTTGTTGTTTTATGCCATCTGTATCGCGGCGGTCTGTAGTGATCAACAGCATGAGCATCAATCTACGCAACTGGGATACGATGACATGTGTCAACCAAGTCATCGAGTCTGACCACCCGATCTCGTTAGTCACCTTTTACGACAGGCATGGGTTCCTGAAGACTAAATCTAACCCGGATCTTCACGGGCACTTTTGTTGAGTTGAGTCCCATCCACTGACTGTATTCATATTTATAGTTGCATTAATTCTTCTCATCAGACTCTTATGTGTTTTTCAAAAGATGATTACAGTACCCTATGCTTGTCATAAATGCAGTCAGTTGGCTATTTAGAGATGGCCATTTTGTTGCCAGAATGTTGCAACATTCGCTAACTGTTCCACTAAAATAGTTTCCCAGCAACCTATCTTGCAAGAGGCCACTAAAAGCAGCAGGTGATGGCTTGTCTTTGTACCCTGATAATCGTTGCTCACAAAAATCAATCACAGGATTGTCTGGCCCTGGACTGCTAATTTAGAGCTCTTAGAACTCGAATGTGGCTAAAACAGTAAACATGTTAAATAAATGTAGCAAATACTGATGTGAAATAGCCTCAGTGGTGAAGATGTGATGTTTTTGTTGCAGGTTGGCTGGAGAAGAATGGCTGCTGACTGGAGAAGAAACTGATAGTTATTTTCCTGAAGTTGGAGTGGTAAGTCAGCCTGAGTCTTAGTTCACAGATGTGTTGGTAATGTATGTGGAAATGATTTTGATGTGATATGGGATGTATGTGTAGTCATTGACATATGTAGTAGACAATATGATGTTATTAGTGATCATTCTTAATTTATGGCTAAGGGGGGATAATGTTGATATTAAGGTGGGGTCACCCATTTCTTTTTTTTTAAATTGTGTGGGGGCCAGGATTTTTGTACAAATGTTTGGGGGTGTCAGCAATTTTGTGCGTAAATATTATTAAAATTTATGCTTAAAAATTATGGAAAGGGAAGGGGGATCATTGATTTTGTACTTGACGTGCGGGAGGGGTCACTTACTTTGTACATAAATCTTAGGGGTGTGTGTGTGTGTGTGTGTGTGTGTGTCATTCCCATTGTACATGATTCCCTAAAAATAATCATCAATGCCCCAAGCCATAAATTATGAACGGTTCCTTAGTGATGTTGGTGTGATCAGTAATGGGAAGGTGTATGTTAATATGTACTGTAGTTGTATTTCCGTCCTTGTGTACACCCTCTGCTGCTGATGTAGACAATGAGGGTGCAGTCAATGCTGTTGCTGTAAATGGGGCAGGACTGAAATGCAAGAAACTCTCAGAGGTCAAGCTGCCAAACATGGTCACCAATTCAAGGACTCTCCATGCCCAACTTAACTGATTTGTGACCTGAGCTCTAGTGGCTTGTAACAACAGGGGGATAGGAGGATGGGGGCTAGAGGGGTGGAGTCATCACCACATGATGTTGTTGTTGTGGACATTATTATTGATGTTGTTGTGATTAACAAGATCAATGTTTTATGGATGTGATCAGTGATTATACCTGTAGAGAATGTAAAGTTTTAAATAATGTTACTGAAGTTGATGTAGATGCTGTTGTAGACAATGTTGATGCATTCACTGTTGTTGATGTACATGTGGATGCTGTTGTTGTGGACAATTTGGGTTCAGTCAATGCTGTTGGTGTAGATGATGAAGATGTAGATGCTGCTGTTGTAGACAATTTTGTTGGTGTAGTTAATGTAGGTGTAGGTGCTGTTGATACAGTGTGTGCCCAGTCAGTGCGGTTGATATTGGTGATGTAGGTGTAGATGCAGTTGGTGAAGAAAGTGTGGGTGCAGTCAGTGCAGTTGGTGTAGATGTGGAAGCTGTTGATGCTGTTGATGTAGACAATCTGGGTGCAGTCAATGCTGTTGCTGTAGATGATAATGGTGTTGACCCAATATTCATTGATATTTTTTACCACTGTGGTAGCAGTCATTGCTGTTGATATAGATGATGTAGGTGTAGATGATGTTGGTCTAGACAGTGTAGGTGCCGTCATTGCTGTTGGTGAAGGCAGTGTGGGTGCAGTCATTGCTGTTGATATAGATGATGTAGGTGTAGATGCTGTTGGTGTAGGTGCCGTCATTGCCGTTGATATAGATGATGTAGGTGTAGATGCTGTTGGTGTAGGTGCCGTCAATGCTGTTGATATAGATGATGTAGGTGTAGATGCTGTTGGTGTAGACAGTGTGGGTGCCGTCATTGCTGTTGGTGAAGACAGTATGGGTACAGACAATGCTGTTGGTGTAGATAATGTTCGTGTAAGTATAAATAAAGTTGATGTTGCCTGACAGATGTTGATGTTGATGCCCATGATGTTGATGTAAGTGTTTTTAACAATGTCGATGTTGATGGTGTAGGTAGTGAAGATACATGATGTTGGTGTAGATGCTTTGCATGTAGGTATTGTAGGTGCAGTCTGTGTTGGTGGGGTGGTGGGGTAGTGCCTAGTAGCTAAAGCGTTCACTTGTCACACCGAAGAACCGGGTTCGATTCCCCACATGAGTATAATGTGTGAAGCCCATTTCTGATGTCTCCTGCCGTGATATTGCTGGAATATTGCTAAAAGCAGCGTAAAACAAAACTCACTCACTGTGTTAGTGATGCACATGAAATAGCTGTAGACGATGTTGATGTAGTCAACAACTGTGACTCTTCCTGCTGCAGGAGGTTGTCAAGCAGGTGAAGAAGGAGGTGGTCAGCAAGGGTCAGTACTGTGTTGTCCTGGACCCAGTAGACGAGGACAAGAGGCCATGCCTTGGGAAGCGGGTGCTGAAGAAAGGGTTGTGTACATTTTTCCTACACCCAGGTAAACAAAAGCTTCACATATACCTACTCTGTATTTTTCACACAATCATAATGATTGAGTGAGTTGTATTATTTCATCACCTTATAGGACAAGTTTGCTCATAAATATGCCTTTTTGTCTTGCTCTTTTCAACATAAAAAGTTTTCTAGTAATTTCAGTGACAGAACAGTACAGATATTAAAAGTAACTTGTTTATTTTTTGCATTATATCGATTCAAATGTTTCACATTTATCGAGAACTCTGTTTCTGTAATGAACACGCGTTGGCTGATGACGATTGTAATATGTGACACGTGCCAACTGATAAGCGAATAACATCGTTACACCTTATAAGACCAATTTCACTCTTTTTTTACCTCAACTCATTCTAAAAGCCTGTTTCATTTCATATTAAAAGGTTTATTTTTTTCATTCATACTACCCCTGTAAGCAGCATCAAGCAACATCATGGTCATTTAATCATAATCTAGAATTTTCGTTTCCCCTACTTTTATTGAATATATGACTTTTCCTTTCCTGTTTTTGCTGACCCTGTTGTTGTTTGTAATGACCTGAAGAACATTGTGTTTCTTTCTATGTTTAGGCGAGAGGCTTGAGGATGGCATACAGAACACCCACGTCTTGTCAGCTGACGAGAGCCTTGTCCTCCAGGCCAAGGGAGCCTTCACTGACGATATGTTTAAAGGTATGCACAGATATGATATTATTTAAAGGTATGCTCAGTGATAACATGATAACATGTGTTTGTGTAGCAGGGCGTGGAGTAGTCCCACAAATGACATCCTTACCTTGTCAGCTTGCTAACAGGGTTAACCTCTTTTGTCATGTGGACAAGATGTCCGACTTCTGATCAGAAGATCTGCGGTTCGAATCCCAAATCAATTCTGATATTCTATGGCTGCTATATTGGGGCCCAACATGGGGTTGAGCACGTTCATAATAAATTTGAGCAAAATAAGTCTCAGTACCCAGCTATGCAGTCCGGGACGTGCCTTCTGTTAATGGGTGCGAATGTAGCAAGGCGTTGAATCATCCCATAGCTGACATCCTTACCTTGTCAGCTTGCTGATGGGGTTAACATCTTTGGTCATGTGGACAAGTCGTCTGACTTTCGAATCAGAAGGTTATGATTAGGGGTGTCACGATACACCAATCTCACGATACGATACGTATCACGATTTTAAGGTCACGATACAATACGTATCGCGATACATAATTTTCTCGCCTTTTCATAGCATTACCTTACCGGCAACGTACGGCTCTCGCTGATTGGTCCATCAAAATAGTCTAGCCAATCACAAAAGCTGTTAGTTTCCAACCTATTTTTTAAGTAAAGCTAGCTACATCTATTTATCGGAGCGATCTCGTATAATTTTACTATCAAGACTTTGAAGGAGATGGATATAGCATAAAAATTTGAATCGATAAAGTTTTAAAATAGGAATCGATACATGCAAGCATGTATCGCGTATCGTATCGCCAGTAAAAATGTATCGATACATCGATACATTCGCGTATCGCGACACCCCTAGTTATGATAACTACTCTTTATTCCAAGCTAAGATTTTTAGGGCTAAGCATCTATTACTGTAACTGACACATAAATTCATCACATTACCATAAACAATGTATAGCAATACTATAGCAATTATGTACTTACAACCGACTGTAACATCGATCAGTTCAGTTCACATGTGAACAGAGAATGAAAACGTCTGGGTGTGAGAGTTACATTATCCTTCATGCACCACTCCTTCCAAATCAATCCTTTCAGATTTTCAATAATCTGTATAATGTCTGTATCCATATCCTTGACTGGAAATTCACCTAGGGAATGGAGTTTAGCGCATTACAAATGCACTTATCATTATAAGGCCACATGAAGCTTGTTTATTGTCCCCCTCCACAACGCGGAACAGGGGACTATGTATTTGGCGGCGTCCGTACGTATGTACATACATCCTGGATCTTTTTAAAGCGATATCTCATGAACTGTTATACCCAATGTCTTCAAATTTGGTGACAGTCTACATTTGGGGATTTCCCAGACACCAGTCGATTTTGGGTGACCTTGACCTTATTTTCAAGGGCACATAACACTTTGACCACTTATCAAACTCTTGTTAATGCAATATCTCATGAACTGTTGTACCCAACGTCTTCAAATTGGGTGACAGCCTACATTGGGGGATTACGCAGACACCAGATTATTTGGATGACCTTGGCCTTATCTTCAAGGTCGCCATGACAGTTTGATCACTTTTCAAACTCTTGTTAACGCGACATCTCATGGACTGTTGTAGCCATGCAATGTCTTCAAATTTGGTGACAGCCTACATTGGGGGATTACAGAGACACTTGTTGATTTGGGTGACCTTGACCTTATCTTCAAAGTCACCACGACACTTTTACCACTTTTCAAACTTTTTTAAATGCGATATCTCATAAAACATTGCACCCAATGTTTTCAATTATGTCGACGGCCTACATTGGGTGATTAGGCAGACACCAGTTATTCCATATTTGTATGTGACCAAAAAATAAAAAGTAGTAAATATAGATGTTCCATTCTTTAGCGGCGGGGGACATATCAGTGGCAAACACTTGTTTATTAAAGTGAAGAGCTTTCATATTGGGATGTTTTTTACAACAGGAAAGCCAAAAAGAAAGCCAGGTGATTTATGGCTGATCCGAGGACCACTGGAGTACATCCCACCCATTGAAGTAGAGATTGTGAAGAGAAGGTAGGGCTATCCCATAGTTTGCAATGGAGATTGTGAAAGCCTGGTAGGTCTATACTAGCCTGCTAATGTATAGGGCCTGTAAGTAGGTTATGGCACAACATTTCATAACTTTTCAAATGGACTCATGGTTGTCAGTTGACATTAAGGAACCGATACTCCTTGCAGGAATAACAAATCTCCGATCTAACCATTCCCACATTAGCCAACTATTACGGCTGTCAACAGCTGTGACAGCCAAGCATGGTTGTACACTTGGTCTGGTCTAGTAAAGTCATATTTGGCGGTCAAACAATTTGGAACCAGACCTGGTTCTTGAATATACGTTTGTCACTGGAAATGTGGTACCAGAAGTAAGCTGGGCCCCGGACGTTGTCGTGCTCAAAGGGAGCCGGGAAGTCGCTTAGTACTGGAAGTAGCGCCTCGAGAGACTTACGGGGCCTATTATGAGGAGAAGTAGCTCTATCCCACACTGTGAAAAATGAAGATCGTGAGGAGTATCTATCCACCCATTTATTAACTTGGACATTGTGAAGGGATTGTAGGTCGATCAAATCAGACTTTTAAGTGGAGACTGGGAAGAGAATTTCACCTTTGTAGTTGAATAATGTGAATCACAATATGACCTCTTTGATTTATGCACAGGTATGCGAGTGTATGATATGACTCTTGACATCTCTTATTTTTTCCTCGATGCTCATGCTGTTGATCACTGGATTGTCTGGTCCAGACTCGATTATTTACAGACCGCCACCATATAGCTGGAATATTGCTGAGTGTGGCGTAAAACTTAACTCACTCACTCACTCTTATTTTTTCCAGAGAAACTATGCCACTTAGCAAGAATGAAGGTATCTATGTTCAGAACAGACAGACTGGAAAGGTACGTTCACAACATTTGATACCTGTGTTAATGGACAATAATGCACTCTGTAAGATCTCCCACAATTCAGACTAGCTAGTGAGACAAAGGACACACTTGTCTGGCTACAGATATCACAGCCTTAATGCATAGTTTGACCCCATTCTTAACCTGTGACCATTCAGTAAATGTGCGTTTAAACGTTGACAGGTCACAATATTTCATTGTGGGTACATATATCCATCTAGATCACTCAATACCCGTGAAGGTCCGGGTTAGAATGAGCCTTCAGTAACCCATGCTTGTCATAAGAGGAGACTAACGGGATCGGGTGGTCAGGCTCGCTGACTTGGTTGACACATGTCATCATATCTCAGCTGCATAGATTGATGCTCATGCTGTTGATCACTGGATTGTCTGGTCCAGACTCGATACTTACAGACTGCTGCCATATAGCTGGAATATTGCTGAGTGCGGCGTAAAAATTGCTAAACTCACTCACTTCACAGTTTTACTCAAACCTGATAGGTATTCCTGGCCATGAAGAGAACCTTGCAGAGATCAAAGATGTTTTGCAAGTTATCAATCAAAGTTATTTCACACTGAGGCCTCCTGAAGTCACCTGTTTGATATTGTTTCTTCAGATAAGAAGTGTGATGGGTCCATGCTCGTACATGCTGAATGCCCATGAAGAACTGTGGGAGAAACCATTAACTCCAGAGGTTGAGGAGATACTCAGGTACCTAACAATGAACTCTTCCATTACTACCCATAGATGATTGTTTTCGCAACTACATGTATATCTTAGAAGTATTTAAGTATTGTATCAACATGCAGAAATTGGGATGGCTTGGGGTTGGGATGGAAATATTAGTTGTTTTCAACTTGGACTATGTATTTTTCAGACATGTATCATATAACATTGCATCCAATACAGTTCTGTGAAGATAAGCATCTCCCTCCTTTGAGATCTTTTCATCAGTGAAATTCAATGAATACACAATGCCATTTAGAGAGTGATCAAATGTAACATATATTTTGGGGGATTACACTTTCACAGTAAAATACAGATTCTAGGGTACCTGACTCTGAGGGTGTGGATTCGAATCCTGGAAGGGACTCAACTGAAAAAAGTGATAGAAACTGTACTTTACTAAGAAAGTGTAATCCCAAATATAACATATGTTAGTGAAATTCAAGTCACATCGATGATAGCATCTGTCAATACTACGTTTACACAACATAGTACATTTAGATTCCGGTTAGGTTATTTTTATGGAAAACTGATGAACCTTGGCATCTGAACAAAGCTGTGTAAATCCCAGCTTTATCTGCATGCTGTCTGTCAGGAATCAGTTCTAACCTCTTCAAGTTCATAGAGATTACTAGCCAAGTGTGTGTTTGTTTTGTGAATATGATGAATAAGGAATAACATTGTGTACTGCAAGCCTCTATTATGTACGATGCCATTTATGGCTGCATTCTTGTAGACAGAGCAAGGCACTCCGCTGAAGAGAGTTTCACTGAAGTGAAGTGGTAATGAGTCTGTTTTCTGGAACATTTTCAGGAATGGCGGTGGAATCGGAGATGGGAACATCCGAAAACTGGCGTACTACGAGCAGTCCATCAACCCAAGCATTCTCATGGTACTGTTGCTTCATCTTCATTATTAAAAAAAGACCGCCTCCGTGGTGTAGTGGTTAGAGTGTCCGTCCAGAGAGCGGAAGGTCGCGGGTTCGATCCCCGACCGCGTCATACCCAAAGACGTTAAAATATGGTACTTGTTGGTCCCTGCCTGGCGCTCGGCATTAATGGGTACATCAAGGACTGGTCGGCTCGGGAGTCAGTATAATGTGTCTGAGTGGGGTATTCATGCTTCACTGCTGCATGGTATCTCAGTGGGCCAGCACTATAAAACCAGCTTCAGTCTGGGCTAGTACAAGCAGCCGCACATACACATACACACGCATGCACGTCGTCATATGAGCGAAATATTCTCAAGTACGACGTTAAACCCAATTTCACCTCACCTCACCTCATTATTAAAAAACACATAAGTCAAAAGTATTGTAATTGAAAATTGGTCAGTAAGATGACACTTCACACAAATCTTGATCATTATTTTTCCTTATCCTGACTCATGCTCTTTTGCTTGTCTCCTTCCTCTTGCGAACATAGTGGAACACTTGTATCTCCCTAATTGAAGTTCCCTTCAATGTAAAATCACTAATTAGTACACCACGAGTTACCTCCCTTCCACAAGCGCGGGAACGAGGGCGCCACCTCTACCCATGTGCCTCACTCTCTCCTTCTTCGCCCAGTGAGCTGGACGTGAGAGCGCCTGTGTCTCCCGACACACTATATCCTTTGATTATATTTAGTTAGTTACCTCGTATAGAGATCTATAGAGGTTTAGCTAGTATCTTTCAACAATTATATATTGATATTTAGTCGTGTTTCTACTGTTTATGCACGGGACGCCGTGCTGTTGCAGTGGATTACGTTGATAAAAATTCTGTACTGTTGCACATTACGTTTTTTATTCTGCTGCTGATCCGCATTTAATATGCCCTAGCTGTACTGCGCCATGTTTCATGTGATTCACGTTGCAGTTGCGATACTAATTTATCCAATTCTACCTTTAATAAATAATTACTTTGCGTTTGAGACGCGCAGCAGATAGGTCACGTATGCAGAGTCTAGCATGACTGATACACCTGAACCCCTCGCCAGTCTACTGCTGTTGGTCGACCCCCCTCCCGTCTGGTTTTCCGCTAGAATGGTGGAGAGGCGTGGGACGTAGTCCGCCGCCTCCAAGAAGCGTCCTGCTTCCCCAGACATCCCTTCGTCGCACTGAGGGGTATTCAACGAAGTCTACTAGAACTTTCTCAGCCGAGATTGTTCTCATCGCAGATTTGGGCCTGTATGATGATCAGCCGATCATCATTCCTGATAATACATCAAAGAATGACTGATGTCGGCAACAGTGATGTCAGCGCAGATCAACATTCGATGATCTTCCTGAGGGTCCCGTCGCTACCAACACTCAACGCGAACTTCGCACCCCAGGGCAGCGTCGACCTCTGAGGGAATTCAGCGAAGTCTACTAGGACTTTCTCAACCGAGATTGTTCCAGCCGCTGAACTTGGCCTCTACGATGATCAGCCGATCATCATCCTCGACGTATGAGACAAGTAGCGACCGGTGACAGCTACAATGACATCAGCAGAGATCGTCATGCAGCCTGATGTCTCTACACTGATGTCAGACGACTTACCTGAGGGCCCCACCACTAACAGCGCAGAGATGGCACCGACTACTTCGTCGCAGACCATCCCAGACGAGCTACTACGGCAAATCATGGTCGTGATGGAGGTCACTACAGACTGGAGAAGCAGCCAGCCCAGAGTACGAGCCTTCGCGAAGGCTCCAACTTAGACAACACTCTAGAGGCACCTCCAGTCAACGTAGCAGCCAAGACGATGCAGCCTTCGCGGGAAGTCGCAGACCACCTTGACGAAGGACCCAGATGTACAGCCTTCGCGAAGGCCTTCGCGAAGGCGGGATAGATCATCACATTCCTCGGCTTCATCCTTAGATGCAGACTCAGCCACCAGACCTCACGGAAGCCTTCGCGAAGCTCAAATCGCCGTTCCCCAGCACCGAACGCAGAGGAAGCTTCGCGAAGGCGTTCGCGAAACGTTCGTGAAGGCGTTCGCGAAGGCATTCGCGAAGGCACTCGGGAAGGACACCCGAATATAGATCGTCATTTAACAGAGTCAGGGACTACTCAAGAGCTTCGCGAAGCTGTCAATAGTCTCCGATCTCCTCGTACATCACCACATCGATCGCCTCACAGGTTACCACACAAAGTCTGCACACAAGTCTACATCACCTTCCTAGAGTGGCGGTACGACGCAGACATACCTGATGAAGGAAGACGACGCAGATGCTATCACCCTACCTCCGATCGACCCGATTGCTGCGGTAGCACAGAATCTAGACATAGCATCCCATAAAGCCACAAAAGTTCAGACACCATAATTGCCGAACTTTCACGCCTAGAAGTTTTCCACGCACAACATGGACCCCTTCTTCAAGGCTTAAGACATCGATGAAAACTACAAGTTGATCATCGATATCAACAATAAGAACTACAATCGTAAATTGGTTCAGTTGAATCCATGACGAGACGTATGTTCGTTGGCCTAAATAGATCTAGAACGATCATTGAGACACTTATCACCAGATTTCGTAACACGACTTCTGAAAATGATAAGATGATCCACTCGGCCCTACTTATGCAGAACCAGCAAGTCCCAGGCCGCCTCCGCGAAGGAGCTAGAGCCTCACCAGCTACAAGGGACGTCGCGGAGGAGTAGCGCTTCGCCGACCCCACATCCTGTTAAACACAGAGGCCATTCGCGAAGCAAGCGCTCTTATATATATATATATATATATATTCTAATCGGACTTTGACTCGATACCTTCGCGAAGGTCGCGAAGGCTAAGTAACTCAAGTCTACTTCACCAGTAGATCTAGAAGGGATACTTCGAGAGCTTCGTGAAGTCTCCGGCGTTCACCGAGGAAGTCTCCTCCAAGGTCTCCATATACTAGCCACTCGTCATATATAGCTACTCCTCAGTCCGTTCAAGACATCGCATAAGTTGTCTATCAACTGTATGCCAGATGCCGTCTATAAGCCTACGCGAAGACAATTGCACAGGCTATTTACAACACAGAACGTCGCTGTATTAATTTGTCAACGACGTTTCATAGATCTTCACAGAAATCAACTATTCCGTATAAATTGCTAGTATATGCAATCCCGGACGACGATACGATTATCTACATGCGTGACCATTACGCATATCTGCAGACAATTCAATATCGAAATTGAACAGCAGCCTTGTTACAGCGAGTATAACTCATAATCGTCAACATTTCTGAGAAGAAATATGTACAACAAATTCAGCTTTAATTCTACAATTATGACGATACATTCATGTATACAGTCTACAAGCTGACAACTTACAAGTTATTGTACCTTTATATATAAAGAAGTCGGAATTATATTCAAAACTGAAGTACTTTCACGACAGCCAGGAAAATAACCTACCCAGCATTAATATTACAGAGCAAGGTATTTTGCGCCGAAGCTTTCGCGCGTTTACCATTAATCCTCGAAACACGTGGTCACTCGGGTAACTTCGGGAAGTTACGATGAAGACCGATGATTGTTCTAATATCAACGACGGCACTATATTATACAAGGTTCCTTTTCCTGCTACACCGGTGACATCACAGCGCGGGTACTCTACAGAATCAAAATGCCTTATTCTGATTGGACCCCGATGAACAACGCCCTACACAGAGGTCGAGCATAGTTCACAGTTCAAGACATAGGTTGCAAGTGACAACTTTATATCAATGAACGAGCAAGCCTCCTTACAGCCCAGTTAACCTGAACCTTCATGATTAGGCTGCTTTCTTCAGGTTAGAGACCTCCCTGTCAAGTTTAGACAAGGGCACAGCAGTCAGGCGATTTTACATAAAGTTCATCGAGGACACAAACTCCCGGTTGTGCACATACATCGTCAAGGACATCGCAGCGATTTACCTAGAACGACGTGATACAAGTGGATCGAAATCCACAGCGTTTCAGACTACACCTGAATTTCATCATCAAGCTACTAACACAACTAGATGGTTAGTAAACCTACTAAGTTTCTGTTTGGAGAATAAACGGAAGTTTCACGTACCAACTTGGGGATATGAATATAGTGCTACAACACCTCACAAGTGAGGTTTATGAACATGCCTGGATGACATGCTTGGACTCCATGATACGATGATGCTATCACGCTGGCCAGCAAGAGCACTGTAAATTTATCTCCACCAAACCAAACAGGAAGAAAATATACAACAGATTTTTTTTCCTCTATCATCAACTTACGCAGAGTGTAGTCTCACGTACTATATCTCCGTTTGGATCAGAACTGTCATACTACGTGCATACAAGACAGATGGACCTAATCCGACCCTCCATGAGCTTTAATACTCTTGATATTAGAGCCCTAACTTCTACAATTTCATCTACACAAATGTTATTTGAAATAATGGAGGTTTATTACTGTAGATCCGATATGGTGGTTGCCAACCATTATCTGAGAGATATCACCACCGAGGACATCTCAGGTATCCACCAATTCGATCCCATGGTCCTTGCACAACAGTTGACAGTTCCTCGGAGAAAGATAAGTCAATCTTACAGATTTTTACTTATCTTATAACAGTACTAAATAGCTTCATGCTATATATAATTTGCTTAAGCTCGTTTTTATCATCACAGTGGTTACATGATAAATGCATTAGCTAACAAACTCTACAGAGTTTTTGGCTATTATATACGTAGCTTAAGTCAAGTATATTTTAAGCATAATTACTATACTCATATTGTAAAAAATACATTAGCTAACAAACTCTACGGGGTTTTGCTATTATATAGGTAGCTTAAGCTCATTCATATCTTAAGCTCAGTACTATGTTTATATCATATAACTATATTAGCTAACAAACTCTAAAAGAGCTTTTGCTATTTGGCTTAAGTTTCATCATATCTTAAGCAATATGGTTACATTATAACATGTATTAGCTAACAAACTCTATGGAGTTTTTGCTATTATATATGTAACTTAAGCTTATTCATATCTTAAGCGCAGTACTATGTTTATAGCATATAGGTATATTAGCTATCAAAACTCTAAAAGAGTTTTTTGCTATTATATATTGGGCTTAAGTTTTCATCATATTTTAAGCTTTATGGTTACATTATATCATGTATTAGCTAACAAACTCTACGGAGTTTTTGCTATACATATGTAGCTTAAGGTTCTTCATATCTTAAGCTCAATACTATGTTGATACCATATAAGTATATTAGCTATTAAAACTCTAAAAGGTTTTTTGCTATTATATATTTAGCTTAAGGTTTACTTCATATCTTAAGCTCAATACTAGGTCTAAATCAACATAATAAAATGTATTAGCTATCAAACTCTACGGAGTTTTACTATTATATATATATAGCTTAAGTTTAATCATATCTTAAGCACAGTACTATACTCATATTGTAAAAATATATTAGCTAACAAACTTTACTAAGTTTGGCTATTATATATGTAGCTTAAGTTAATTATATCTTAAGCCCAGTACTATACTCATATTGTAAAAATATATTAGCTAACAAACTTTACTAAGTTTGGCTATTATATATGTAGCTTAAGTTAATTATATCTTAAGCACAGTACTATACTCATATTGTAAAAATATATTAGCTAACAAACTATACTAAGTTTGGCTATTATATATGTAGCTTAAGTTAATTATATCTTAAGCACAGTATTATACTCATATTGTAAAATATATTAGCTAACAAACTCTACTAAGTTTGGCTATTATATATGTAGCTTAAGATAATTATATCTTAAGCACAATACTATCTCATATTGTAAAAATGTATTAGCTAACAAACTCTACAAAGTTTGCTGTTATATATATAGCTAAGCTTATTCATATCTTAAGCTCAGCACTGTCTATATCATATAAATATTTTTAACTAACAAACCCTAAAGGGTTTGTTATTATATAATTAGCTTAAAATTAATCATATTTTAAGCTTGGTGCTATGTTTATATCTTAAAGTATTTTAGCTAACAAACTCTAAGGAGTTTATACTAGCATATTAACAAGCTTAAGTCTATTAGTCTTAAGCATTGTATTAATATTATATATACTTATCATAATAAGTACATTGTAATAACCTCTATATGGCAGCTGATAAGCTGGCAGCAGGAATTCATCAGTTCAATGCCTTTATGAAGTTCTCATAGGGTTATTACAATCATCACAGTTCAAATCACTAATTATTAAAATCCAAAGTATTATATATTCCCACCTCGGCTCTGTTGGATTCTACAAGCAAAAGAGCATGAGTCAGGATAAGGAAAAATATGTAATTTTTGAGTAAAATTGATATTTTATACTTATCCTGACTCATGAGTCAGCCCTCCCATCCTCCCAAATAACACTTTGGATTTCCCTGTAAATTCAAATGTTGGGCTCAGTATATGAGGAGAGAGTGAGGCACATGGGTAGAGGTGGCGCCCTCGTTCACGCGCTTGTGGAAGGGAGGTAACTCGTGGTGTACTAATTAGTGATTTTACATTGAAGGGAACTTCAATTAGGGAGATACAAGTGTTCCACTATGTTCGCAAGAGGAAGGAGACAAGCAAAAGAGCATGAGTCAGGATAAGTATAAAATATCAATTTTACTCAAAAAATTACATTATCTTAGCAAACCTTTTATCAGTACATGACATAACAAAACAATATTTATATCAAGATACATGATGTGGTGGTGGTCGGATGCTTGGGTGAATGAATCATTACAGCTCAAAAAGTAACATCCTTCCTTTTGTCACTGACTTATGAAGATCCGAGTTAGAATTGGTCTTCAGTAACCCATGCTTGTCATAAGAGGCAACTAACGGGATCGGGTGGTCAGGCTTGCTGACTCGGTTGACACATGTCATCATATCCCAATTACGTAAATCGATGCTCATGATGTTGATCACTGGATTGTCTGGTCCAGACTCCATTATTTACAGGATGCCGCCATACAGCTGGCATATTGTGGAGTGCGACTTTAAACAACAAACTAACCTTTTGTCAGTTATGGCCTCGCCATTCAGATCGGCATCCTACACTAACGTCACTCATTATGTTCTCTTTTAAATTTTTTTCTCAGGGTAGAAACAGAACCAAAATAGTTACATACCGTTGCCCTGGCAACACAGCTGTCCAGGTGAGCTATATTTATTGGAAAAGAGGATGTAAATGGTACAGTGTACATATTTACACCATGGTACAACATGGTTGTTTATGTTATTTATTTAAATTGTAACCTTGGTAACAGTACAAGAAAAGCAAGATTTATGGATGTCAACTTCTTTATTGTGACACTGAAAGACATTTAAAAATCATGTTGCAATCTATATGTTTTTTGGCAATTTGATTATACTTAATCTATAGGCAGAACTGTTTCCGCTGACGCATCAAGTTTTGTTTTTCTGTTTACACAGACATAAAAACTTATGTATTTCAAGTAAATTCTTTCATATTTTTAATTTGTGGTGTGTTTGCTGTTACAAAAAGCAAACTCTGCAAGTCTATAAATTTTGTTAGTTCCATGATCAATTTCCCCATTTCCTGACCCAATACTTGTACACACTGGTGACATTCTCGCAGGTGTACAACTACATGCAGAAGACAGCGAGGGTGGTACTCGGACCCGACCTCATCATCCTGGGGCCACACGAAAACTTCAATGTGCTCAGTCTCAGTGGTCAGTTGATAGTTGATGTACCAGCCGTAAATGTATTTATTTTTTCCATATTCATCTTCGAACATGGACTTAATTTTCCCTGAGTAACGTATTTTCCTTACTGAACACCTCAGTGTTTATTTTAAACTGTTTGAAGCACGGGTATCAGATCATAATAAGGAGTACAAGAGTTAGGCAATTTGCCAATACTAGACTTTCAGATGACATAGAATCTAGCAGACAACAAGAAAAACAAATTTTTAGGGGGTAACATAGAATATGTTCCTCGAGTGGTAAGTGGAGTACATTGAAAATAATAGGAGAACGCTCAGCCAATCAAAAAAGACATGTATGTGCAAGGTAAGATAAATTGTAATGTTAGCGCTGTAAGAAGCTATCCTGTTTGTATAACAAATGGGTCTCATCTCCAGTGTTTAAGTTTACTTGAGATTTGGATCCTGAAAGGTAATAATCATTATTCTAAGATGCCTAGCGGTTAGAACAATGGAAAAAAACAAACATTATCAGGCAATAAAGGTATAGTTTTTTGATGACGTAACAATTGAATGACGTTAACCCGTCACTGCGCCATTCTAGTGTGCCCCCTCGTAATCGAACCATTTTACATTACGTCACAATGTAAGCGACGTCACGATGCATGTCAGTTGTCATCGCCTCATACGGCCTCCTACAATAAACTACACCGTTGCATCCAGTTTCTTGGTTTGCTGTTGCTTCACGCAGCTAACATCACTGGTGGAAACATTACGTTTATGTTTTACGGCGGTTAAAAATGTGTCATTTCGACTCACAAGTTTTCAGCGACCACGGTAGCGTTCAGTAATGTTTACATTCCCACAATGCAATTGTGGAATGTCGCTTGACTACTCAACTTCCTCTGGATGTACTTATCTAAACTTACGCTGGTAGTAGAAATGCAGCGTTCATATTGCCCCATATGGTTTACGTTAATGACAGATGTAATTAAAATAATTCAGAGAAGATATTTAATCCTAACGTAAACCGTCATCAAACTGTTATCATTTATTTTTTCTGGTAACGTTAGATGTTAACGTAGGGGGCAGACACATCAATAGAACAGCCAGCCAGTTGGCCCTGTGCGAGGATTCTTAATTTAGGTCACCGACACCGTCGTTTGTTTTCTGCCTTATTCAGTAATTATCTTTAGAAAGTATTAAATTTGGCATCTTAGAGAAATATTGCTCGCTACCACCATATAGTAATAAAACATTTAAGCCCTGAACTATTATAGCGTTAAAGCACTCGGACATGGCGTCCTCGTTAGCTTTAACTATAATAGTTCAGGGCAAAAGTGTGTTTTATTACACTATACATGGTGGTAGAGCGAAGTGTATTTCTTAAATAGACCATGCCCTTTATAGATACACACATAATTATGAAATATTAAGTGTTAATATTGACATCTGTAAGATTAAAGTTGGCTTCAAAACTACACTACTCTGATCATGAAAATATGTACGTTATTAAGTACGTTTCACTCTGATGAAAGTGTGGGTTGTTTTTTTTTTTCTGTACATCAGCTGGAAAACCTAAGAAAGCCAATGCTTTGAAGTCACTATGCATGATGTTGGGGCCAGACTTTATTACAGATATTCTTGAGGTAAGAGGATCTTTGCATTATTCATGTATGACATTACCCATGTCATTGTTAAGTTACATGTTTGAGGGGAGGTGGGGTAGCCTAATGGTTAAAGTGTCCGCTCTTCACGCTGAAGACCCAGGTTTAATTCCCCACATGGGAACAATGTGTGAAGCCCATTCCTGGTGTCCCCCACAGTGATATTGCTGGAATAATGCTAAAAGCAACGTAGAACCATACTCACTCACTCACTCTCTCACATGATTGGCGTTATTTTCTAGTGGTCTAGACATTATTCAATTGCAGAGTTGTCTCCCATTGCACACCACTTAGTATTACTTCCAGTTCTTGCCAATGTCTTGAAGTGAAAAGCGGTTCACAGCTTCTCTTCACTTCTCTTCACTATTTAAACATTACCTTAGCTCATCACTTAGCTGTACGAAGTCAGGTTTTCATTCCAATGAACAGCTTGCAAAGTTGCATACACTTTGCCATTATTTGGTAAAGCATGTGTGACATAAATTCTCTATTACTGATAGATTCAAATTGAAAGGCACATGACGCCTTTGTTACAATGCTTGTTTTGCAAACAGAAATGGCTTCCTGTACTGGGAGGCCCAAACTGATGCAGCATCAAAATGGCGTAAAGGTTATACAGACTCTCATGAACATGTTAAGCGGAAGTTGTACGCACATGGACTGAGCACTTGGACTGAACACTACCCATTATCTATTCTTATGTTTCTGTAACGTGTGGAACTTACTTAACATGGCTTTTGTTTATTGTATGCAGGTTGAAACTGCAGATCATGCAAGACTACGAATCCAAATAGCATTCAACAATCATTTCGAGGTAATTACAATTCAACAATTTTTGTGATGATATATTTTAGTTATTCATATAGATTTTTTTGCTTATTTTTATAATGTATGTTAATATTTATATGTTTATTTATAGTCTGTAAAAGTTGATAACTTGTACACTGCCGATGAACATGAATGTTTGATTTGCTTTCAGTACGATCGAAAAGATGACGAAAGTCTGAAGCAAATGTTTGCTGTACCAGACTTCATTGGCTTTGCCTGTCGACAAGTTGGTAAGTATGATGTATGAATAAGAAACATTCTCTTCAGTAACTGAAATAATTTCTGTGACGCTTTTTTCTATTTATTGCCTTTTTAGCTTTATGTCATCCAGGGCCCCGTTTCACTTTCTCAGTAAAATACAGATTCCAGTACTTTTGTTGGGTTGCGTCCAATCAAGTATTTGAACCTACACTCTCAGAGTCAGGCACCTAATTGCCATCACAAAGTCAGCCATCTAACCCACTCAGCCATCGCACTTCCACAAGAATGGCATGGCTCCCACAGCCGAAAGCTATGAATACACAATACTTTTTTAGAAAGCTGTCAAACGTAGCACAATTTGTTACTATTTCTTCTGAACACCTTTTTCCAGGAAGCCGGATCAGAGGTGCTGTTGCCCTGGTTCCCTTTGATGAGTTCCACAGACACTCCCTGCAGATCATACGAACGGCCGTTTTCGGTATCAACCCTGTCAACAAGCAGCTCAGGACACACATCAGATTCAGTGAAAACAACTTGGTATGTGGCAATGAAATTGCATCACGATTCATTTTTTACTGTCCATTGTGACCTTTACGGTTACGGGCAGTGGGAGTGCGTTGCGTCGTGGGTTAAGCATCACGCCGAAGACCCGGGTTCGATTCCGTTCATGTGTACAATGCATCAAGCCCATTTCTGGTGTCCCATGCCGTGATATTGCTGGAATACTGCTAAAAGCGGCATAAGACCAAATCACTCACTTATTCTTTGGTTACCGTCACGTCACAATCAAATACCATCGCTGATGTCTCTGATGCTGAAGCTAGTTTGCTGCTCTTTTACTGTCGAGCCACTGTGATGGAACAAACTGTGATGGGTGTTGATATTGGATTATAGATAGGTGAGGTGAGGTGAAATTGGGTTTAACGTCGTGCTTGAGAATATTACGCTCATATGACGACGTGCATGCGCAGACACATTATACTGACTCCGAGCCGAGCAGTCCTTGTTGTACCCATTAATGCCGAACGCCAGGCAGGGACCAACAAGTACCATATTTTAACGTCTTTTGGTATGACGCGGTCGGGGATCGAACCCGCGACCTTCCGCTCTCCATTATAGATAGGATGGCACCCTTGAACGGATTAGACTCTTAAACTTAAAACAACTTTGATTGATACTTAAGAAGTCATTAGATACTTGTGGATATCATAAGACACTTGTGTGTCTTAAGAAACATGTCGCCATAAGTTCCGGAACTTTCACTGCACATATTACATACATTGATGCAGTAAGCTTTTGACGTAAGCAAAGTTTAGATGTATAATTATATGATGTTGATCAAAACAGTTTCTCTGTAGAAACTAAAAAAACGAAACAATTTTTGCAACCAAATGAAGAAATGGAATGAGAAAGGGTCTTTGCTGCATCTTTTTTACAGGCTGAATCTTACATGATGCTTGGGAAATTGTATGGTAAGAGAATGAGAAACATTCACTCACTCACTCACTCACTCTTACAACAACAAGAGGTGAGATTAGAGTTATTAATGTATAGCCACACAGCAAAAATCGTTGACTGATATAAGTTGCCCAGGCAGTAGTATATTTTTGTGACACTGTCAGCAGTTGTTTCTGCAGGCCTTAGTTCTACAAATAGTACAATGCTGATTCTGTGTTTCCTTATATTACACAGGGCGTTAGGGTAGCCTAGTGGTTAAAAGCGTTCTCTTGCCACGCGAAAGATTTGGATTTGGTTCCCCAAGGCGTGAAATTTGTGCAGCCCATTTCTTGTATCCACCATGGTGATATTGCAGGAATAGTGATAAAAGCAGTGTAAAACTAAACCTCACTCACTCACTCCTTTATATCACCAGGTAATTACCAGTATCGACGTTCAGAGCATCGAGCCATCAGACGTGAAGATGAGGGACAGCCTCAGCAAGTCAATACAGATGGCCATAGAGATTGCTACAAAGTTTGTTCTTGACATTTGTTTTCAGCAACCATCTTTTATGTCTGCCGATGTAGTGGTCCAGGGGCGGTGGGGTAACCTAGTGCTTTAAGCGTTTGCTCGTCACGCTGAAGGCCAGAGTTCGATTCCCCACATGGGTACAATGTTTGAAGCCCATTTCAGGTGTCCACTGCTGTGATATTGCTGGAATATCAACCCATGCTTGTCATAAGAGGCGAGGAATGGTGATCAGACTCGCTGACTTGGTTGGCATATGTCATCGTATCCCAATTGCTTAGATCGATGCTCATGATGTTGATCACTGGATTGTCTTGTCCAGATCTGATTATTAATTATCCACCTTACAGCTGGAATATTGCTGAGTGCAATGTTAAACAACAAACAAGCAAATCAAACATTTCTGGTCATACAAGGTGACTGAACATTCAGTTTCTCGCTCTATTGCGTGTCATTGTTCTCCAGTAGTGGGTCCTTGCTCACCACATCTGTCATTGGAGGTTCAGTTGCTACTGAAAACACTGATTGTTGATGATTTTGTGTTGCAGAATATGGAATGATATCATTCTCATGTTTTTTACTCTACATACTGTTAATTTTTCCTTATCCTGACTCATGCTCTTTTTGCTTGTCTTCTTCTTCTTGCGAACATAGTGGAACACTTGTATCTCCCTAATTGAAGCTCCCTTCAATTTAAAATCACTAATTAGTATTCACCACGAGTTACCTCCTTTCCACAAGCGCGGGAACGAGGGCGCCACCTCTACCCATGTGCCTCACTCTCTCCTTCTTCGCCCAGTGAGCTGGACGTGAGAAGCGCCTGTGTCTCCGACACACTATATCCTTTGAATTATATTTAGTTAGTTACCTCGTATAGACATCTATAGAGGTTTAGCTAGTATCCTTCAAGCGATTATATATTGATATTTAATTCGTTTTTTTCTACAGTTTATTCACGGGGCGCGTGTTTGTTTCAGTGGATTCGTTGATGAAAATTCTGTACTATTACAGATTGCGTTTTTATGCTGCTGCTGATCCGGGTTTATGAACAACCGCCTGGATGACATACTTGGACCCCATGATCACGATGATTCTATCAAGATGGCCAGCAAGAGCACTGTAAATTTATCTCCACCAAACCAAACAGGAGGAAAAATGCAACAGATTATTTCCTCTATCATCAACTTACGCAGAGTGAAGTCTCATGTACTATATCTCCATTTGGATCAGAACTGTCATACTACGTGCATATGCGGATGGACCTATTCCGACCCTCCATGAGCTTAATACTCATGATATTATAGCGCTAACTTCTACAATTGTTCTACACAAATGTGATTGAAATAATGGAGGGTTTATTTCTGGAAATCGATATGGTGGTTGCAAACCATTATCTGAGAGATATCACCACCAGGAGGACGTCTCAGGTATACACCAATTCGATCCCATGGTCCTCGCACAACAGCTGACAGTTCCTCTTAGAAGATAAGTCAATCTAACAGATTTTTACTTATCTTATAACAATACTAAATAGCTTCATGCTATATATAATTTACTTAAGTTCCTTTTATCATCACAGTACTATGATTATTACATCATACAATATATAAGTTAACAACTCTACAGAGTTTGTTATTATATATATTTACCTTAAGTTATTCATATCTTAAGAGTAATACTATGGTTACATGATAAATGCATTAGCTAACAAACTCTACAGAGTTTTTGGCTATTTTATACATAGCTTAAGTTAATTAAGCTAACAAACTCTACGGAGTTTTACTATTATATAGGTAACTTAAGCTAATTATACCTTAAGCATAGTACTATACTCATATTATAAAAATATATTAGCTAACAAACTCTACAGAGTTTTGCTATTATATATATAGGTAGCTAAAGCTTATTCATATCTTAAGCTCAGCACTATATCTATATCATATAAGTAGATTAGCTAACAAACTCTAAAGAGTTTGCTATTATATAATTAGCTTAAGTTTAATCATATCTTAAGCTTAGTACTATGTTATATCTTAAAGTATTTTAGCTAACAAACTCTAAGGAGTTTATACTAGCATATTAACAAGCTTAAGTCTATTAGTCTTAAGCATTGTATTAATGTTATATATACTTTATCATAATAAGTACATGGTAATAACCTTTTAACATATATGGCAGCTGATAAGTTAGCAGCAGGAATTCATCAGTTCAGTGCCTTTATGAAGTTCCCATAGGGTTATTACAATCATCACAGTTCAAATCACTAATTATTAAAAATCCAAAGTATTAGATATTCCCACCTCCGTCCGTAGGATGCTACAAGCAAGAGCATGAGTCAGGATAAGGAAAATATGTAATTTTGGAGTAAAATTGATATTTTATACTTATCCTGACTCATGAGGTCAGCCCCTCCCATCCTCCCCAAATAACACTTTGGATTTCCTGTAAATTCAAATGTTGGGCTCAGTATATGAGGAGAGAGTGAGGCACATGGGTAGAGGTGGCGCCCTCGTTCCCGCGCTTGTGGAAAGGAGGTAACTCGTGGTGAATACTAATTAGTGATTTTAAATTGAAGGGAGCTTCAATTAGGGAGATACAAGTGTTCCACTATGTTCGCAAGAAGAAGAAGACAAGCAAAAAGAGCATGAGTCAGGATAAGTATAAAATATCAATTTTACTCCAAAAATTACATTTTTAAGGACAAATGCAGAATTACAGCTCTGCATTTCTTTGTATTTCTGTGTTCTCAATTATGATTATTCATTAAACCATCAACAGTCCTTTTGTTAAACCATGATTAGTCTTGAAACTTTAACCAATTCCCACCACTAGTGAGTAGCAAGTCATGACGGCTAATTCCCTCATAAATACTGTACAGGTCCATAGAGAATGCAGCAGCCCATGAGGCTGACAAGATTGAGCAGGCTGCACGCGGTCAGCTGGAGAGACAGAAGCTGGCCAATGAGAAGGATGCAGAGAAGGAGAGGGCCAACTTGCTGCATCTGTGTGCTATAGCTGCAGCTGTTGAGTCAACTGGGCAAGCCAAAGCTGAAGCACAGGCCCAGGCTGAGAGGATGCTTATAGAGTGCCAGAGTGAGATTGAAGGTGAGCTGTGTGTGATACAGGCCCAGGCTGAGAGGATGCTTATAGAGTGTCAGAGTGAGATTGAAGGTGAGCTGTGATACAGGCCCAGGCTGAGAGGATGTTTATAGAGTGTCAGAGTGGGATTGAAGGTGAGCTGTGATACAGGCCCAGGCTGAGAGGATGTTTATAGAGTGTCAGAGTGAGATTGAAGGTGAGCTGTGTGTGATACAGGCCCAGGCTGAGAGGATGCTTATAGAGCGCCAGGAGTGAGATTGAAGGTGAGCTTGTGTGTGTGATACAGGCCCAGGCTGAGAGGATGCTTAGAGTGTCAGAGTGAGATTGAAGGTGAGCTGTGTGATACAGGCCCAGGCTGAGAGGATACTTATAGAGTGTCAGAGTGAGATTGAAGGTGAGCTGTGTGTGATACAGGCCCAGGCCGAGAGGATACTTATAGAGTGTCAGAGTGAGACGGTGAAGAGCGTGTGTGATAGGGAGGCCCAGGCTGAGAGGATACCTTATAGAGTGCCAGAGCGAGATTGAAGGTGAGTTGTGTGTGACACAGGCCCAGGGCCGAGAGGATGCTTATAGAGTGCCAGGAGTGAGATTGAAGGTGAGCTGTGTGGTGATAGAGGCCCAGGCTGAGAGGATACTTATAGACTGCCAGAGTGAGATTGAAGGTAAGCTGTGTGTGATACAGGCCCAGGCTGAGAGGATGCTTATAGAGCCAGTCAGTGGATGGAAGGTGAGCTGTGTGACACAGGCCCAGGCTGAGAGGATGCTGATAGAGTGTCAGAGTGAGATTGAAGGTGAGCTGTGTGTGATACAGGCCCAGGCTGAGAGGATACTTATAGAGTGTCAGAGTGAGATTGAAGGTGAGTTGTGTGACACAGGCCCAGCTGAGAGGATACTTATAGAGTGCCAGAGTGAGATTGAAGGTGAGTTGTGTGTGATACAGGCCCAGGCTGAGAGGATGCTTATAGAGAGTCAGAGTGAGATGTGAAGGTGAGCTGTGAGGCTGTGTGTGATACAGGCCCAGGCTGAGAGGATACTTATAGAGCGTCAGAGTGAGATTGAAGGTGAGCTGTGATACAGGCCCAGGCTGAGAGGATGTTTATAGAGCGTCAGAGTGAGATTGAAGGTGAGCTGTGTGTGATACAGGCCCAGGCTGAGAGGATGCTTATAGAGTGTCAGAGTGGATTGAAGGTGAGTTGTGTGTGATACAGGCCCAGGCTGAGGGGATGCTTATAGAGTGTCAGAGTGGGATTGAAGGTGAGCTGTGTGTGATACAGGCCCAGGCTGAGAGGATCCTTATAGAGTGTCAGAGTGGGATTGAAGGTGAGTTGTGTGTGATACAGGCCCAGGCTGAGGGGATGCTTATTGAGTGTCAGAGTGAGATTGAAGGTGAGCTGTGTGTGATACAGGCCCAGGGTGAGAGGATGCTTATAGAGTGCCAGAGTGAGATTGAAGGTGAGTTGTGATACAGGCCCAGGCTGAGAGGATGCTTATAGAGCGTCAGAGTGAGATTGAAGGTGAGCTGTGATACAGGCCCAGGCTGAGAGGATGCTTATAGAGTGTCAGAGTGAGATTGAAGGTGAGTTGTGATACAGGCCCAGGCTGAGAGGATGCTTATAGAGCCAGAGAGGAGATTGAAGCTGAGCTGTGTGTGATACAGGCCCAGGCTGAGAGGATGCTTATAGAGTGTCAGAGTGAGATTGAAGGTGGTGAGCTGTGTGTGATACAGGCCCAGGCCCAGGATGCTTATAGAGTCAGAGTGGGATTGAAGGTGAGCTGTGTGATACAGGCCCAGGCTGAGAGGATCCTTATAGAGCCTAGAGAGGGATTGAAGGTGAGTTGTGTGTGATACAGGCCCAGGCTGAGGGGATGCTTATTGAGTGTCAGAGTGAGATTGAAGGTGAGCTGTGTGACATACAGGCCCAGGTGAGAGGGATGCTTATAGAGTGTCAGAGTGAGGATTGAAGGTGAGCTGTGATGCAGTCCCAGGCTGAGAGGATGCTTATAGAGCTGTGTCATGAGAGTGAGAGATTGAAGGTGAGTTGTGATGCAGTCCCAGGCTGAAAGGATGCTTATAGAGTGTCAGAGTGAGATTGAAGGTGAGTTGTGATGCAGGCCCAGGCTGAGAGGATACTTATAGAGAGTCAGAGTGAGATTGAAGGTGAGCTGTGATACAGGCCCAGGCTGAGAGGATACTTATAGAGTGTCAGAGTGAGATTGAAGGTGAGCTGTGTGTGATAGAGGCCCAGGCAGAGAGGATGCTTATAGAGTGTCAGAGTGAGATTGAAGGTGAGCTGTGATACAGGCCCAGGCAGAGAGGACATACTTATAGAGCCAGAGTGAGATTGGAGGTGAGCTGTGATAGAGGCCCAGGCAGAGAGGATGCTTCTATAGAGTGTCAGAGTGAGATTGAAGGTGAGCTGTGATACAGGCCCAGGCTGAGAGGATGCTTTTATAGATTGTCAGAGTGATTGAAGGTGAGTTGTGATGCAGTCCCAGGCTGAGAGGATGCTTATAGAGTGTCAGAGTGAGATTGAAGGTGAGCTGTGTGTGATACAGGCCCAGGCTGAGAGGATACTTATAGAGTGTCAGAGTGACATTGAAGGTGAGCTGTGTGTGATACAGGCCCAGGCTGAGAGGATACTTATAGAGTGCCAGAGTGAGATTGAAGGTGAGCTGTGTGTGATAGAGGCCCAGGCAGAGAGGATGCTTATAGAGTGTCAGAGTGAGATTGAAGGTGAGCTGTGATACAGGCCCAGGCTGAGAGGATGCTTTATAGAGAGTCAGAGTGAGATTGAAGGTGAGCTGTGATGCAGGCCCAGGCTGAGAGGATGCTTATAGAGTGTCAGGAGTGAGATTGAAGGTGAGTTTTGGATACAGGCCCAGGCTGAGAGGATGCTTATAGAGCGTCAGAGTGAGATTGGAAGGTGAGTTAGATGCAGGCCCAGGCAGAGAGGGATGCTTATAGAGGACAGAGTGAGATTGGAAGGTGAGCCAGTGATACAGGCTCAGGCTGAGAGGAGGACATTGCAGAGTGGTCAGAGAAAATGGTATGAAGGTGAGCTGTGATAGAGGCCCAGGCAGAGATGGATGCTTATAAGGAGTGTCAGAGTGAGATTGAAGGTGAGCTGTGACACAGGCCCAGGCTGAGGATACTATAGAGAGTGTCAGAGTGAGATTGAAGGTGAGCTGTGTGTGATACAGAGCCCAGGCAGAGAGGATACCATAGAGAGTGTCAGAGTGAGAGTGAAGGGTGAGCTGTGTGATAGAGGCCCAGGCAGAGAGGACGTCTATAGAGTGTCAGAGTGAGACTGAAGGTGAGCTGTGTGTGACAGGCCCAGGCCGAGAGGATACTTATAGAGTGTCAGAGTGAGATTGAAGGTGAGCTGTGTGTGATACAGGCCCAGGCAGAGAGGATACTTATAGAGTGTCAGAGTGAGAGCCACAGGATACAGACCAGGCTGAGAGTGAGAATTGAAGGTGAGCTGTGTGTGATAGAGGCCCAGGCTGAGAGGATACCTATAGAGGTCAGGAGGAGATTGAAGGTGAGCTGTGTGTGATAGAGGCCCAGGCAGAGAGGATGCTTATAGAGTATCAGAGTGAGGATTGAAGGTGAGGCTGTGTGTGATACAGGCCCAGGCTGAGAGGATACTTATAGAGGTCAGAGTGAGATTGAAAGGTGAGACGTGTGTGATAGAGGCCCAGGCAGAGAGGATGCTTACAGAGGTCAGAGTGAGATTGAAGGTGAGCTGACATTATGTGATAGGAGGGCCCAGGCAGAGAGGATGCTTGTGTGAGAGTGTCAGAGTGAGATTGAAGGTGAGCTGTGTGTGATACAGGCCCAGGCTGAGAGGATACTTTATAGAGGATGCAGCCAGAGTGAGATTGAAGGTGAGCTGTGTGTGATAGAGGCCCAGGCAGAGAGGATGCTTATAGAGTGTCAGAGTGAGATTGAAGGTGAGCTGTGATACAGGCCCAGGCTGAGAGGATGCTTATAGAGCGTCAGAGTGAGATTGAAGGTGAGTTGTGATGCAGGCCCAGGCTGAGAGGATGCTTATAGAGCGTCAGAGTGAGATTGAAGGTGAGCTGTGATACAGGCCCAGGCTGAGAGGATGTTTATAGAGTGCCAGAGTGGGATTGAAGGTGAGCTGTGTGTGATACAGGCCCAGGCTGAGAGGATACCTATAGGAGTGTCAGGAGTGAGATTGAAGGTGAGCTGTGTGTGATAGCTGAGGCCCAGGCTGAGAGGATGCTTATAGAGTGTCAGAGTGAGATTGGAAGGTGAGCTGTGTGTGATAGAGGCCCAGGCTGAGAGGATGCTTATAGAGTGTCAGAGTGAGATTGAAGGTGAGCTGTGTGTGATACAGGCCCAGGCTGAGAGGATACTTATAGAGTGTCAGAGTGAGATTGAAGGTGAGCTGTGTGTGATACAGGCCCAGGCTGAGAGGATGCTTATAGAGTGTCAGAGTGAGATTGAAGGTGAGCTGTGTGTGATACAGGCCCAGGCTGAGAGGATACTTATAGAGTGTCAGAGTGAGAGATTGAAGGTGAGCTGTGTGTGATACAGGCCCAGGCTGAGAGGATACTGATAGAGCGTCAGAGTGAGATTGAAGGTGAGTTGTGTGTGATACAGGCCCAGGCTGAGAGGGATGCTTATAGAGTGTCAGAGTGAGAGATTGAAGGTGAGTTGTGATGCAGGCCCAGGCTGAGAGGATGCTTATAGAGTGTCAGAGTGAGATTGAAGGTGAGCTGTGTGTGATACAGGCCCAGGCTGAGAGGATACTTATAGAGTGTCAGAGTGAGATTGAAGGTGAGCTGTGTGTGATACAGGCCCAGGCTGAGAGGATACTTATAGAGTGTCAGAGTGAGATTGAAGGTGAGCTGTGTGTGATAGGAGGCCCAGGCTGAGAGGATACTTATAGAGTGTCAGAGTGAGATTGAAGGTGAGCTGTGTGTGATAGAGGCCCAGGCTGAGAGGATACTTATAGAGTGTCAGAGTGAGATTGAAGGTGAGCTGTGTGTGATACAGGCCCAGGCTGAGAGGATACTTATAGAGTGTCAGAGTGAGATTGAAGGTGAGCTGTGTGTGATAGAGGCCCAGGCTGAGAGGATACTTATAGAGTGTCAGAGTGAGATTGAAGGTGAGCTGTGTGTGATACAGGCCCAGGCTGAGAGGATACTTATAGAGCTGGCAGAGTGAGATTGAAGGTGAGTTGTGTGTGTGATACAGGCCCAGGCTGAGAGGATGCTTATAGAGTGTCAGAGTGAGATTGAAGAGGTGAGTTGTGATGCAGGCCCAGGCTGAGAGGATGCTTATATAGAGCCAGAGTGAGATTGAAAGGTGAGCTGTGTGTGATACAGGCCCAGGCTGAGAGGATGCTTATAGAGTGTCAGAGTGAGATTGAAGGTGAGCTGTGATGCAGGCCCAGGCTGAGAGGATGCTTATAGAGCGTCAGAGTGAGATTGAAGGTGAGCTGTGTGCGATACAGGCCCAGGCTGAGAGGATGCTTATAGAGCATCAGAGTGAGATTGAAGGTGAGCTGTGATGCAGGCCCAGGCTGAGAGGATGCTTATAGAGCGTCAGAGTGAGATTGAAGGTGAGTTGTGATGCAGGCCCAGGCTGAGAGGATACTTATAGAGCGTCAGAGTGAGATTGAAGGTGAGCTGTGATACAGGCCCAGGCTGAGAGGATGCTTATAGAGCGTCAGAGTGAGATTGAAGGTGAGTTGTGTGTGATACAGGCCCAGGCTGAGAGGATGCTTATAGAGCGTCAGAGTGAGATTGAAGGTGAGCTGTGTGTGATACAGGCCCAGGCTGAGAGGATGCTTATAGAGTGCCAGAGTGAGATTGAAGGTGAGTTGTGTGTGATACAGGCCCAGGCTGAGAGGATGCTTATAGAGCGTCAGAGTGAGATTGAAGGTGAGCTGTGATGCAGGCCCAGGCTGAGAGGATGCTTATAGAGTGTCAGAGTGAGATTGAAGGTGAGTTGTGTGTGATACAGGCCCAGGCTGAGAGGATGCTTATAGAGCGTCAGAGTGAGATTGAAGGTGAGTTGTGATGCAGGCCCAGGCAGAGAGGATGCTTATAGAGTGTCAGAGTGAGATTGAAGGTGAGCTGTGATGCAGGCCCAGGCTGAGAGGATACTTATAGAGTGTCAGAGTGAGATTGAAGGTGAGCTGTGTGTGATAGAGGCCCAGGCAGAGAGGATGCTTATAGAGTGTCAGAGTGAGATTGAAGGTGAGCTGTGTGTGATACAGATGGATTTTTATGGAAGAAAGTTTTCTGGTCAAACAGTCATTCAGGGCAGTGCTCAGTGAACATTTCCCTCATATCAGATTTCTGCTGTGTTCAGAATCCTATGGCTTAGTTTTGAGGTTTCCATAGAATGAATGAGGACTTGAATGATAAATGACTTACAATTAGGAGAGGAGGACTGAAGCGGGCACTGACCTTATGCATATCATTCTTTCTTGCAATTTGTGGGTTTTTTCCAGCTGCAAAACTGAAGGCAGAGGCAGAGGCAATAGAACATCAAGCTAGACTGGAGACACAGGGCATGGTAAATATAGATACTTAACTGTCACAAAACATGGCTACTATTGATGACTGACCATCACAGTGATGTTATACTGTCACTGAGCATTTCACAGAGCATGGTAAATATAGGTACCTGACTGTCACATAACATGCTAACTGTGATGTTATACTGTCACTGAGCATTTCACAGAGCATGGTAAATATAGGTACCTGACTGTCACAGAACATGCTAACTGTGATGTTATACTGTCACTGAGCATTTCACAGAGCATGGTAAATATAGGTACCTGACTGTCACATAACATGCTAACTGTGATGTTATACTGTCACTGAGCATTTCACAGAGCATGGTAAATATAGGTACCTGACTGTCACAGAACATGCTAACTGTGATGTTATACTGTCACTGAGCATTTCACAGAGCATGGTAAATATAGGTACCTGACTGTCACATAACATGCTAACTGTGATGTTATACTGTCACTGAGCATTTCACAGAGCATGGTAAATATAGGTACCTGACTGTCACATAACATGCTAACTGTGATGTTATACTGTCACTGAGCATTTCACAGAGCATGGTAAATATAGGTACCTGACTGTCACATAACATGCTAACTGTGATGTTATACTGTCACTGAGCATTTCACAGAGCATGGTAAATATAGGTACCTGACTGTCACAGAACATGCTAACTGTGATGTTATACTGTCACTGAGCATTTCACAGAGCATGGTAAATATAGGTACCTGACCATCACATAACATGCTAACTGTGATGTTATACTGTCACTGGGCATTTCACAGAGCATGGTAAATATAGGTACCTGACTGTCACAGAACATGCTAACTGTGATGTTATACTGTCACTGAGCATTTCACAGAGCATGGTAAATATAGGTACCTGACTGTCACATAACATGCTAACTGTGATGTTATACTGTCACTGAGCATTTCACAGAGCATGGTAAATATAGGTACCTGACTGTCACAGAACATGCTAACTGTGATGTTATACTGTCACTGAGCATTTCACAGAGCATGGTAAATATAGGTACCTGACCATCACATAACATGCTAACTGTGATGTTATACTGTCACTGGGCATTTCACAGAGCATGGTAAATATAGGTACCTGACTGTCACAGAACATGCTAACTGTGATGTTATACTGTCACTGAGCATTTCACAGAGCATGGTAAATATAGGTACCTGACTGTCACATAACATGCTAAATATTGATTCTTGATTGCCACAAATCATGGTAACTATTTGGGTAGTACTTGCCTGGTAAGTATATCATACAATACTTGACTGCCACAGAGCTTAAGTAACTGAATTTCCTCACTTGTTCTCACTAAAGTATGAGAACACTACAAGAAATCACTCAGATTATACAAGCTTAAATTTCTGCAGAAGAAACTCCATATCGATCGGTTTACAGTGGGACTTGTAGTAGACACCTAAGCTGGTGAGGCCCAGTGCAAGTCATTATACCCTAATAGGAGGCAACTCTGCTCCTATCAATTTGGCGGTGGGGTAGCGTTGACTCGTGATGCCCAAGACGCCGGGTTCCATTCCTGACATGGATACAATGTGTGAAGCCCATTTCTGGTGTCCCCTCCGTGATGTTGCTGGAATATTGCTAAAAGAGGCATAAAACCATACTTACTCACTCACTCATCAATCACTCGTTTGCATAGACCAGATTTCCAGATTTGATTATGTACAGGCTCCATTGATATAGATTGTTTAATATTTTTGCTTAAGAAGCATTCATTTACACATCTATTTTGTTAGGCCTTCTCCCTAACATATAGTTAAAGTTTGAGTTTTTAAGTGTGAGGAGAGTATTGTGACTTGTGTGACAGGCGAAGAGGGGCGAGATCAACTACCTGCGAGGTCAAAACGAGCTCTACCTGGACAAAGAAAGAAGGAAGGCTGAGATTGAAGTGAGCAAAATCCAGATATGCACTGTATCCTGTTTCAAGCAGGGTTGATTTGCTGACGTTCCATCACCATATGATTTGGTCATAACCATCAAGCTGTGTTTTATATTTCCTAGATCCTTTTCCACATATTTAACAACAGTTACATCTGTGTTTTAATGGGGAATATTCTCTCCTTCAAATATTGAAGATGTAAATAAAGGGAAATTACAATAGAGCCATTGTTTTAAGATGGACAATTACGGTTTTACTAAATAATACTTCATTCTCATGACCAAAGGGAAGCAACTCTTGTGTAGCCTGCTCTGTCAACACAGGAATTCAAAGGAAACAGATTTTCAACAAAATATAACATCTTAGAGTCTGTATATAAGTTTATATCTGTAATAGTCTTAGGCTGTGGAGAAACCATACTGTTCATTGGAAGATATTGAAAATGTTGACAGTTACTGTCTAATTTCAGGTGAACAAATTCCAGGAGATGATTGAGAGTATTGGCCAAGAGACATGTGCAGCCATGGCCCAAGCTGGCCCAGATACCCAGGTGAGACATTCTGTGCCCTGTAGGAGTTCCTCCACAGGAACCCATGAAGATCCGCCTTAGAATTGATCTTCAGCAACCCATGCTTGTCGTAAGAGGCGACTTACAGGATAGGGTGGTCAAACTCGTGACTTGGTTGACACACGTCATCGTATCCCAATTGTGTAGATCGATGCTCATGCTGTTGATCACTGGATTGTCTAGGTCCAGACTTGATTTTTACAGACTGTCTCCTTATAGCTGGAATATTGCTCATTCTGCTTGAATGGGACAAAACGTTCAGTATGTGTATGCCACCTATTGTTTCAATTCATAGCAATCTTAAAGTATTGAGAACTGGTTCACCATTAAGTACTTCAGTGCTCCTTGTCAATGAGGAAAAGCTTCATGGATTCGCATAGATCGAGGGTCAGTCATTGGATTGTCTGGTTCAGATTACTGTATGGCTGGAATATTGCTGAGTATGGTGTTAAATAAGACAAACAAATTGTTAATCCTTGCAAATAGGATCTTTTGTCTCTGTAGCATCAGCAACAGTTTCATGTGGGTGAATACTTTACTGAGCTCATGACTCTTTAGCTCGATATTTTGATCATGTGAGCAGGGCATCCAGATTAACAAGGTCAAGATCAGTGACCAGAAAAATACAAAAATCGATCATTCCTGAGCAATATAGATTCCCGGTTTCTAAAACAACTCGTAGATCTATGGTTTCCAGCCGAATGAGTGAGTGAGTTTAGTTTTACACTGCATTCAGCGGTGTTAAACGACAGCCAACCAACTTCAATGTTACCTTTGTTTTTCAGGCCCGCTTGCTGCAGGCTCTCGGGATGCAGAGCGTGTTGTTCACTGATGCCAAGAATCCCCTCAACCTGTTCAACACAGCAGGTGGTCTTGTAGGCAGGGAACAAGATAGGCAGACATCTGCTTGAAGTGCTGCATCCACTCCACCATTGGTTCTGATAGTCATTGCTAGAAGCATGGCTTACCAAGCAGAGCCCCATTTCACAAAGCGATCGTAGTGCTAAGGTGATCGTAACTCCCATACTTTAACATAGACTTACGACAGTCGTAGCGCTACGATCACTTTTGCAAAACAGGCCCCATTTCACAAGATAACAGTTCACAAAATAGCAGCAGTTTATATGCAGTTTAACACAATCATCTGTTGAAGGAATTCAATTGAAAGTTTACAAAAGTTACAAATTTTAGATGTTTCCCAGGTTTGAAAAAATAACATAGGATGAAGAAGTAGACATTTTGAATGAAGTTAAATGAAAGGACACTTAAGTCAAAGGGGCATGGGTAGCCCAGTCATCAAAGATGCCACTATTTGCTGTGCAGAGTTCCGTCCCTTGTTCACGCGAGAAAATTTAGATCATCTGAAATTTTGTTTCTGTGATTGTCCTCACCATATCAACACTGAAGTGGTAAAGTTCTGAGACCTGCATCACTTCAGGTTGTTCTTCCACATTATACTGGCAGTTTGATTTAACTGTATATAACTCATTCACAAATGAAAGGGGCGTTGGGGTTGCCTAGTGATTAAAGCGTTCGCTCGTCACACTATGCTCTTAAAAAAGATTAGGGGAACTTCATTTTTAATTTACAATTGAAACAACTGGGAGATATATCAAAGTCAATCAATGTGGATATGATAATAATAAATGTTTTGAGAGTGCATCACCACTTGCACTTGCTTATGATAATTGTTTGTACAGTAATCGATCTTGCAAGATGATTGGTGTATGACGTGAAGTTTGGCCCTCAACATGTTTTATTTGCATGTGTACAATTTTCAAATTAAAAAAACATGGCTAGAAACAAACACTAACAACTGTGTGATGCAAGATGATTGTCAAAATTAATAGTCTACAGTGATTTATCGACCTTCTTGAAAACCATCAAAATAAAAAACTGACATTCAATGCATGTGTATGGGGCTACTGCGTTGAGCACGTATATCCCATGCATTCTGTGTAGGGGTGGTGCGTTCTTAAGATGTCTGTCTTTGAAAAGTTTGTTAACACTGAAATACTTCCTATCCAAATTGAAAGTTCAGGTTCCCCTACTTTTTTTGAAGAGTATATATATCCCACAGCTGTCAATATAACCTTCATAGAAGTAAGGCAGCTGTGATATTAATGTGAATATTGCCATGATATATTTTGAAGTTTGGTTACTTGGATTTCTTTTGACATGTAATGCCTTCAGCTTTTGAAATATGGAAATTTCTTAATAGCCTGAAATCACATGCAGCTGGATTCCCCAAATATTGTCAAACATAGGTGTTTCTCCATATTAGTATAGTGATTAAGCCATACTAAGATAATAATAATAATAATAATATTGATGAGTATTTATAAAGCACTGTATCCATCCACAAGGTGCATGATCAAAGCGCATGATGATGATGATGATACACACGTTTGACAATTATTGTTTACTTGTTTTAGATACTGTAAGTCATGAAATTAATGTGATGACTATGTAATACAAAATATGCTGGAGTAAAAATTCTTGTATGGAGAAGTATATTCACAACATGTAAGTTATCTGATATGGAAATCTATTTGATTGATGTGCTGCAGTGTGAAAATGACTGCATCATGCAGGACAGGGATTTATGTAGAGCTGCCCCAAGGTCTCAGCAGGGCGGTGGCTTAGCCTAGTGGTTAAAGCGTTGGCTCACCATGTCGAAGACCCGGGTTTGATTCCTCACATGGGTACAATGTGTGAAACCCATTTCTAGTGTCCCCTGCCATGATATTGCTGGAATATTGCTAAAAGCGGCATTAAACTAAAGTCACTCACTCACTCACCCAAGACTTCAGCAAATCTGGGAAAATGAATTACATGACTTGAATAAAACTAATGTCACGGGTTTGTAGAGTTGACTTGTATTGCACAGATGAATGGAACCAAGTCTTCAGCTAATTTCAGTAAAAATTTCCAAAGTGGAATGAATATTGTTGTATTTAATGTTAAGGGTATGTGGAGGTAACTTGCATCTCAGTGATAACTAGACAAGTGTAGAATATGAGGCTTGGATACAGCTTAACCATTATTGTATTTTTTGAATAAATTAAAAGCATTATTAAAATTGCTGTGATTAAAGGAAAATGACAAATAAGAACTTTTGAAAGTGAAAAGACAACATTTTGAAGCAAATAACAATTTTTCCCAAATGTTAATGCTAAACATTATTGTAAACATTATTGTATTTTTTTAATGTATCAATTGCTTTTAAACAAATAATTTTTTTCTCAAACTGGGTACAAGGGGTGCCTGTTTTGGAATCAAATATATCTCCCTTCCGGAATTATTATTTCCTGCCAAATTCTTTGAAGCAGCTATGTGTGAGAGATAGCTTGGCAATATTTAGAGTTATTAATATATTGACCTTCTATATTGGTACATGTACTTGGCGATAAGTCTGTGATATTGATCTGTAATTATTACACTTTGATTGTTGATATTTGGAGTGCTGTTTTGTACCAGAATTTGTCATAGTTTCGTTAATATAAGGTCGCCAAATTAATGTATATGAGCATTGTGTTAACAGTTCACTGTTGTTGCACTTGTATATATGAACAATGAATATTCTAAGGTTAATCTGACAATGAAGCAGCTTTGTAATGTGTACACCATTTGGCACCAGAAATTATTTTGATATTAAATATATGTTTTTGTTCATGTTATATTACCTATAATTACCTCCTTTTTTGTGTATAGAGTGTATATATCATGTAGTCAAACGAAACTAATGAATGGGTTAAGGGATTTTTGAAGAACCTATGAGAGTCTGTTTTAGATAAGGTTGTCACCAGACCTTACTTCTGCTGAAATGAATAACTACCGTTCTTCTCACACTATTTTCTGTGTGTATGGTTGCTAAGTATTTGTAGGACAGGAACGAAGACGTCTGTGTTCAGTGGCCATACAATCAATTCATTTTGTTACCAAAACTTTGAACATCTTTGTTACCAGGTCCACAGTGAATATAATGAAACAGAATATCTTGTCGGTCACCACTTTAAGAAATTCAAGTTTTGTCACTGAACGGAGAAGACAAACACCTTTTGCGAGCGAACCAACAACAAACATTTCAGGATATCCAGTATACAGTTTTGTTTAGTTGTTTATCCCATATTTTGCATCTATATATTCCCCATATTTGGTTTCCATTATTCTGGTTAGTTTTTAATACCTGCTCCATGACTTGAACTTTGTGCCTTACAATATCTCTGAAAGTTTTGCATAATACTTCTGTGCATTTTTACCTTTTTTGATCGGAGAAGAGTCTATTTAGTCCATGTTACCATATTTACATAAATATGAGAGCTGTTTATTATATGTTTCCATCCTAGGACCAAAGTTGATCACATATCTTACTTACGGAAGATAGTTTTCATCCAAAACAACATGGTATTAAATATTGTGTCCACTATATTAAGTGTTCTGCCCCCATAAATTATTCCCATACAAACCTCTTGCCTAGCCTTAGGTAAATGTATTAAATTTATAAACACCACATTTTTCAGTCTCTAATTTCTTCTCATTTGTTTATCTTTTAACTTGAAAAAGCACAGCAGGTATATATATGCTATTGCAAAATAAGGGTCTTTAATTTCAACATTTGAACTAACTTTGTTGATAGCCCTCTAATTACCTTTTTGGATTCTGAACTACATCTATCCCCAACACACTTTGCCAGAATGATTTTCTTATGAATATACACCAGTGAAATCTTCACCTTTGTATTTAGTATGATGGTATTTTGTATAGATGTGCCAGGTGAGTTGTTGAGAATTCTCCGCTTATCACAGTAACCTGCTTTTGAACCATTCCTTGTGGCAAGGTTTGAGGCAATCAGGCTTGAGATATAAAAATTGAAGATGCCAGTGATCGAAATTACAAAGTTTAATATTTAGGGGTATTGAATCACAAGATCTGAGAGCCAGAGTTTGGAGAAGAAGGAGTCTGATATTCACACACGGCTTGTTGTGTGTGAGTCCTATCACACATGGCTTGTTGTGTGTGAGTCCTATCACACACGGCTTGTTGTGTGGGAGTCCTGTCACACACGGCTTGTTGTGTGGGAGTCCAGTCCACAACCACCTTTGTTATGTTATTTCCATGTGGATGTTTATAGAAATTATATTGTTTCTTTTGATACTGTAGAACACAATATGTACATATCTATTGATGTACATATATAGATTTCAGTAAAATCAATTTCCTATATTTTCTTGTTATATTTATTATTGGATATTATTATTATTGATATTTATATAGCGCACATATCCATGCACTAGTGCATGTTCAAGGCGTTGGTATTTTTTTTAAATTTTATTTTGGTGTGTTTACATTTAAACGTAAAATATATTTTTCACTTGAGAAATTACTCCTGAACATCTGTGTTAGATTTGGTCAGAGACCAGTTCTTGTCTTCAGAGGCAACAATATAGTGTTGTCAGGATCCCTGACTTGGTAGATGCATTTCGTAGTTTCCCAAATGTATAGATCAATTCACAGGATGTAAGTCACTGGATTGTTCTGATCCAGACTAGATTATTTATTATTACAGACTGCCCTCATATAGCTGGAATATATGCAGCATTGAGCAACTTAACAAGCTACTTTCAGTGCTTTAGAAATTCATGCTTGTCTGCTTGTCCGGAATTATTAAGTTGTGCTGTTAACAAGTAAAAGTCAATGGATGGTATCTGAGGGTTTTACTACCCTAGTAGAGAGCGGAAGGTCGTGGGTTCGATCCCCGGCCGCGTCATACCAAAAGACGTTAAAATATGGTACTTGTTGGTCCCTGCCTGGCGCTCGGCATTAATGGGTACAACAAGGACTGGTCAGCTCGGAGTCAGTATAATGTGTCTGAGTGGGGTATTCATGCTTCACTGCGGCATGGTATCTCAGTGGGCTAGCACTATAAAACCAGCTTAAGTCTGGGCTAGTACAAGCAACCGCACATACACATACACACGCATGCACGTCGTCATATGAGCGAAATATTCTCAAGTACGACGTAAAACCCAATTTCACCTCACCTCACAACCCTAGTAATTAGTTTATTTAGGTTCAAGCAGGAATAGCAAAGACTGTTTGAATAAGTTTTACACTGGCACTCTGGACTAGCCTTGGATAAACCAAATTACTAAAGCTGAATGTTACATAGTCTTCAAACTGCTGACTTGTAAGAAATGCTCGATCACTCAAAAAAAATTATAAGCAATATGCTTGTTTTTTCTTCTACTTGTTGAATGATTTCATTAAGGAACATGGGCAACCTTCAGCCAAACCTTCAGAGGTGATTTCCATATCGAGACGCAGAGGTTTACCCACAGATATGTTCGTACAGAAATGTGAAATCGGTAATTAAATGACTTCACAAGATCAAGGAATGACTAATAGATTATACTGAAATACAGTTTTAAATTTAGGTTCACCTAAGGGAAACACAATGTCTCGAAAAGGTTGCGGAAACGGGAGGCAGTCATGTATAGATATTGCGTAGAACGGTGCTCATGATGTTGATCACGGATTGTCTGCTCCAGACTCGATTATTTACAGACAGCCGCCATATAGCTGGAATATTGCTGAGTGCTGCGTTAAACTAAACTAACACACTCATGTCTAGATACAACCAGCCAACTTGAAACTGCCCTATGACGAAACTTCTCGAAAGGTAGAGCTGTCATCTACATATGAAGACGCAAGGGAGAT